TGTGTTTCCTCTAACTTATGGCTTCTTTGAGCTATCCTGTCAAAAGAGTGCTTGAGAGGAATGGATTACACCAGACACTTCATTAAAAAAAAAACAAAAAAAAACAAAAAAAAACAACTTGCATCTTCTCAATCAAAATATTCTGCTTGACCCCGTATTTCTCACCTGTTTCCAAAATTTTCAGTGTCCCTCCCAATACAAAATAGCCATCTGAGGACATAAAAAGGCCACTGATGCTGGTATAACCCCAGCCCAGCCCACTCTTGGATGAGTTTTCTACTGGATGGAAGGGTCCGTATATCCAGGTAGTGGTGAATCATCCACTGACCCTCAGAAGAATGAAGGAGCTGAGATTTTGAGGTCACTTTGGCCTGCGCAATTTTTTCATGCTTGTTGTCCAGTGGGCAAGAACTTGACCCATCTAAGTCAGTGTGCATTTTCCCCTTTCACCCAGTGCCCTAAGAATCCACATCTACCTGTATCAGGCAGTGGGGATACAAATGTGACTCGAGATTTGGTCTCAGCTGAAGTTCTTTTCAGTAATTTGGTAATTTATTAACTTTAGAAAAAATAATATACCAGTGTTCATTACTTGTGACAAATACACCGTATTTACTGATGTCAGTAACAGGAAATACTGGATGTGGAGTCTATGGGAACTAATGGCACCATCTTGCAACCTTTCCGTAAATCTAACACTATTCTGAAACAAAATCTATTTTATTTCATTTATTTATTTTTATTTTAAAGATTTTATTTATTTGTTTTATTTATTTATTTACGAAAGAGTGAGAGATAGAGAGAGTGTGTGGGGGGAGGAGCAGAGGGCCAGGGAGAGAGAATCCCAAGCAGACTCCACACCAAGTGTGGATCCTGATGTGGGGCTTGATCTCACGACCCTGAGATCATGTCCTAAACAGAAACCAAGAGTCAGATACTCAACCGAATGAGCCACGTAGGCACCCCTAAAATAAAGTCTGTTTTTTAAAAAAACCCAAAACCTCTCCGGAACTGACCAGTCTAATAAGGCCCATGCCAGTTTTCAAAGGAAGCACAATGGGCTTTTCCACAGCTGGGTTACTAGAGAACAGGACTCTGGAGATTCTTCTTGATGGCTCTTTCTTAGCAGCCCTTATATTCAGAAGCTGTATTTTCCTGCAGTTTTTCATAGCTATTCAGTCTAAAACTCAGATGGAGGACTGGTAAATCACATCTCAGAGCAAGGTGTAGGTGAAGACTAAAGAAACTTGCAAGACCAAGCTGGTCAGGAGTTATGCCAACCCAAGCTAATTATTATTATTATTTCATTCAAGCCATTCAGGCAAGGGCAGGAAGAAAAGGTTGCATCAGATAGCATACAAGAGTAAGCTGGAGGGGCGCCTGGGTGGCTCAGTGGGTTAGAGCCTCTGCCTTCGGCTCGGGTCATGATCTCGGGGTCCTGGGATTGGGCCCCGCATCGGGATCTCTGCTCGGCAGGGAGCCTGCTTCCTCCTCTTTCTTTCTGCCTGCCTCTCTGCCTACTTGTGATCTCTGTCAAATAAATAAATAAAATCTTTAAAAAAAAAAAAAGAGTAAGCTGGAGAGGAGCACTTTCTCATCTGGGATCTTATCTTTTGTTTGTTTGTTTGTTTGTTTTTTAAGATTTTATTTCTTTATTCGAGAGAGAAAGAGGGGGATAGCACACGCAGGGCGGAGAGGTAGAGGGAAAAGCAGGCTCCCCACTGAGCAGGGAGCCCAACATGGGGCTCCATCCCGAGACCCTGAGATGGTGACCTGAGCCTAAGGCTGACACTTAACCAACTAAGCCACCCCAGGCATCCTGGGATCTCATTTTTAAAAAGAACATCTGGTTTTCTAAATCCAGGGGACTTGATTTTCAAAGTACAAGTAGCCACCAACTCATACGGGTCTGCCTTTTAGTGCGTGGCTCTGAGAAACAGGCTCCGGGGGCCATAAAAGCAATCCTCCTCTTCAATGCTAGTTGTGGGAGCTGCCCCGTCCCCATCTGAGCTCCTCTCTAGGACTTTCTGGCTCTTCCCTTTCCTTCCATTCTTGTTACTTTAGTGCCCCCTTCACTGCTCTACTCCCTGCAGCCCCACTCACCTGGCCCAATGTGGAAATGTCAGGATGGGCAAAATGGAGAGGGATGTCAGGGAAAATGAACAGAAAGCTCATTGCAACTCACTCCTCCCCTCTCTTACCCCCAGTCCATGAGTTTTGACAAACATATATACCCATGTCCAACCAGCACCCAAATCAGGATACAGACTTCCATCACTCCCAGAAATTCCCCAGAAGCTAGAAGTCACAAAACTCATCTTTGCTGATAAAAGTCAGATGAGTGGTTGCTTGGGGTAGAGTAGGGAGAATTAACTGCAGAGGGATACAGAGGAGCTTTTGGGGTGATGGAAATATTCTATATCCTGATCTGAGTGTATATATTTGTCAAAACTGACTTCTATGCAAAATGAGTAGATTTTATTATATGTAATTTACATGTCAATAAAAATGATTGAAAAAAATTCTACTGATACTGGTTTCAAAACCCTGGTTATTCCTCCAAACCGTAGTTATTCATCTTTCTTGAAGACTTTCTGGCTCTTCTGGGCTCACAGTGATCCCTTCCTCTCCTGGCTCAGACCCTTAGAGTCTGTACTGTTCACATGGCAATTCAACCAGTGTTTCTGTATGACTTAATATTACCGCTTTTGATTTTTTTATGAATTCGTGAATTGTCTCCTCACTAAATTAAGAGAGCCTTGGGGCTGGGAAATGGTTTAATTTCTCACTGTTTCCTTGAAAGCATGGGGCTCACAAATGCCAAGCATCTGCAGATTCCAGCTATCCACCTGACTGGTACCAACTGGACACCAACTGGACAGGGAAGACTTGGGTGGCCAGGTTACAGCCACTAGACTGTGCACCCCTATGGAGAGTGATCCTGTGGGAGGCAAGGACACGTTGTGGGTGGCAAACCCCTAGTGGCCAGTGAACGTTAGCCCCATGCCCCATTCTGATTCTCATCTGTCACACTCCTCCTTCCCTGAAAAACTTGGGTGATCTCTAAGCCTGCTTTAAGCTGTCATCTTGGGACCTACTGGCATCATCACCTTGGAAATTCCCTTCATCTCTCTCATGTTGGTCTCCTATTTCCTGGACCCCATGCTTTTTTTTCTTTAGGTAGAGTATATCATTCAGTCAATTGTCCTTGCCAAAAGAATACAAGAATAGATCTGGGTGCGGGGCTCCAAGCAGCACCTAGCAACTTCAGAAACCCCAGATCAGTGCCTCCTCCTCAGAGCTGAGCCTCACACCAGTTTCCAGGGCTTCCAGGATTTGCTGCAAACCGTCTCTGACCTTGGGGCCTAGTTCATGTCCTCATGACCTTTCGATTCAACATTCATTTAGTGACTATTAACTGAGTACCTACTGTGATCCAGGTACCATTCTAGGCATTAGAAACAAAGGGGTGGACAAAATAAACAAGGAAGTCCCTACTCTGACTGAAGATATGATACTGTTGTGGTGGGGGTGTGACCAAAGATAATGAGCAAATGAATAAATAATAAATAGGATGGTGATGAGTAAGATAAAGAAAATCAAAAAGAGTGTGCTGGGACAGAGGTGGTGCTTTCTTGAGGTTGGGGACAAGGAGAGTCTCACTACGGAAGTGACATCTGCAGGATAAGGAGCCACCCATACTGAGATCTGGGGTAAAGGCATTCCGGATAGAGAGAACTGCAGATGCAAAGGGCCTGGGGCAGAATAAGCTTGATGAGTTTTGAAGGGCAGTTCCTAACAAAATCAACTAAGCTGGATCCATCCATTCCTGAAGCTATGCCTAACCTGGGATTTTTCAGGTATATGATATCTGAGGCCTTTAATGCTTAAATCAGTTTGGGTTGGAGCATCTGTCATTAGCAAGTGCAAATCCACCTATCGGTCTTAGAACCAGCTCTTTCCACTGGCACCCAGAAACCACACCTGAGTACTATATACCAGCTCTCCTAACAAAAATGGTGGCCAACAGGGCCTGGGACTGTCCCAGAGGGAAACACAGAAGCTTATAAGAAAACCTCTACATAATGATTTTTTTTCAAAGTAAAATTATCACAGGGAGAAAGGAGGGCTATGCTTGGTCTATACAGGATGGTGTTATAACTTTCATAGGTCCCTTCCTCCATTAAAAAAAAGTTTAAAAAATTATATACTACAACTGAATTGATATAAAGATGAATATAACACAGGTTGGATCATATTCCCTTTCTCCTCATTATTTTAAAAGAAACTAAAACATTTTTACAGGTCCTTAAAATACCCTGGACCCTGGGTACCATGCCTATTCTCTCTAATGGTTTTGTTGCTCATATTATCCAGATTGCTTGTCTATGTGGTCCACATTCCCTAGAGATGAACCCAACTCCAGTCTCCTTGTCTAGAAGGGATGGAAAGGTCCAATGAGTCCCTCAAAGCCCAGGCCTGCTTTCCCTCTCTCCCACTAGCACATCTCTGGGTCATCCCTGCCTGGTTTCATCTTTGGGGCACCCATGCCCTGGGGACACAGCTTTGTTGGGCATTATTTCTGTGGATCATGGGGAGCCGCTCCTAACGTGTCAGGTAACAAGACTGGGAGCTCCTCCACAACTCATGTGTCTTTCATCAAAGTGCCCCAAGTCCTAGCACAGGCTGGGTACAGAACAGATCCCTGGTGGGGAAGGAACAGGGGCCGAAGTATGCTTCCTACTTAGCAAACTCTTGTCACTTAGGATTTCCACTTGGGCCAGGCAGGACACAGAAAGAGGAGACAGATGGGTAGGAGTGTGGCGAACGGGAGCGCACATGTCTCCGAGATCTTTCTGGGTCCCCCCTCTATTCTGGAGGGCAATGTGCTGACTTGCAAAGCTGGAGGGGTTATGTGGCCAGCACAGAGGCTGGGCAGACATGAGTCAGTGTGAGAGGCTCCAGGTAAGCTCACTGGCCCCAGGTTCTCCCTCACTCACCTTCATCACTGGTGTGAGGCTCTGTGCCATTGTCGTGGTCGACTTCATCGATAGTCCCTGGCTCGCTGTGTGGACTGTCACTGCAAGGAAACATGGGAAGGGGACACATTGGGCTCTGCACCCTCACACTGTCCTCAGCTTAAGTGCCAGCCCCGCCCACCTCTGCACTTGACCCAGGTCAGGCCCAGGCCTGCCATCCTTACCCATTGGACCTCTCATGGGCCCTCCTAATAGAAAACCGCTGCCAGCGCCTGCAATGGGCAGCTGTCCTGAATCACCTCCCCCAGCTTCCCCTAGCCCTGGAATTTGCCAGGCTGCCAATTCCTAGGTGTTTCGGAAGACCCAGAGATCAGTGTAAAACCCTGGCATTTATCCTCAGAAGGACCACAGGCCAAAATATGAAGGAACTCTGGAAGTGCGGTAGGTCATTTACCTAACCTGCTTCCACGTTTTACAGAGGACACGACATACCCAACAAGGAGGAGCAAAGCTCCCAAGGAGCAGGGCTCTCAGGGCTGCCTCGGGGTGCTGCGTGCAAAAGCCCGGGCCAGTCCACATGGCACCAGCAGGCTGGCAGCCATAATGGGCACAGGAGGAGGCAGAGTGAGTCCAGGCCTATCAGATTTGTAATTCATACACTGGGATAATTTCACCAGCCACGACCCCCTCTCTAAATGATAAGCTTCTCAAGGTCAGGGTTTATTCCTATAGTCCATTTTCTAACTGAGCCAGGATGGAGTCCCGTTATATGCTAGGTAGGAGGGACACACCGATGGGTGAGTCGACAGCCTCTGCCTTCAGGGGCCAGGAAATAATCTGCTGCAAGTTGAAACGTGCTATGGAGGAGCAAATGAGCAGAGACAACAGCAGAGGGGACCCGCGGAGGGTGGTCGGGGAAGGCTTCTTGGAGGAAGTGACACTTGCAATGGCAGTTGAGAAAACAGGAATTTCATTATGAAAAATTCTCTACTGCCTCCTGGATAAGGTCCAGATGCTACACAATGGCTTGAGAACTTTCAAAACCTGCTGGCCTGTGCAGCCTCCTCCCTCACCATTTCCTCGGCATCTGCAACACTCTGGCCACACAGAACCACTTTCCATTTTACTGAATGCTTCAAGTCCAGAACATTCTTTGCCCCCTCCTTGACTGGCTGACTCCAGTTCATCAAACAGGCCTCTGTTAAATCATTTCCTCCAGAAAGCCCTTTCCGACCTCGCTACATTGGTTCAGGGAGACCCTCTTCTGGAACTGTCTGTTTCCTCCTCCCTCAGAGCTCCCTGCATCAGGGATTAATCCCATTCAGGTTACATCCCTGACCCCCTGCCTGGAGCCAGGCCTAGGACAGACACTCAGCAACCATCTGTCCATTCGTCAAATGAATGAATGTTGTCCAGTAAAGTGTGATCCTCAGCCAAATCCCCCTTTTTGGCTTTGAAAATACCTCCAATGTAATTAATAGTTTTCCTTTCTCCTGGGAAGCTAATGGCATTAAGAAAAGTGTGGTTATTGGATATTGTTCTTTGGTAAGTACAACAGATCTTGAGGACCCTTCCCAGAACAATTAATGATCATACTGGAGGAAGAAAAGAGAATGGGTAATGGTTGCAAACACTGTGTGAAAAGCTTCTCTTTGTCCAGAAAGTATGCTTGCTGGCTGTTTAATGTCTCTGTGACAGAACAAGGACAGATGTGCTCCTGGTGCCTCAAATAATACAGCAGAGCTCGACATCTCTATGGGGGACAATGTGGGGAACAAAGGGTCTGGAATGTCTCCCTTCTTTGAAGCGATTTAAGAGTCCAGGAACGCTGTGATAATCAAAAGACAAGCCCCCTACAGGAACCTAGCTGAAAGCAGTATGGGGAATACCTAAATGCACAGCTGTGTGTTGTCCTGGATTGGGAATAAAGAACAAATAGGAACCCTTGGCTTGTCTCTGGTGTTCTGAATCCACATTTAAAAACACTTCCTATCTTACCACATTTTAAGGTCTTAGTCTGGGGAAAGTAGTCAGCCCTGATTTTGATTAGGTTCTGACATTTTTTCTCCCAAGACCCCATGTAGCACAGGTACCCAGAGGTGCCCAACTACCAACTGCTGACCTAGTGTGGAGCTCTCAAAAAACGTGAACTCACTGTGTCTGGAAAAAAGAACTCCTTTCTCAAGAGGTTGTGGTGGGGATTATTATCCACTCCCCTGCTGCCTGAGATGGGTTTGTGACTCACCCGGTCCATGACAGCTTGACATCTCCTAACCAATGTGATTTGTTCACCAAACTCGAGGCTCAGGAAGGGGATATAATTCTTGGATTTGTGTTGGGGCACTGGGGAAGAAGAAGCCCCTTTTCTACTGGGGTTGCTGAGAGAAATGTGCTCTAAATCTGGAGTTACTAGATGCCTTCCTGAAGCCACCAAGGGAGAGACTACCTGAGAATGAAGCCAACACAGAAGAAAACAGACCCAAGGGTTGGAGAGTGCAGGACCAAGTCCTGATGATAATAGTTGAACTCCTGGATCCAGCTATACCTGAAGCCACGATCCTTGACTTTTTAGTTAAGTCAAGTAAACTAATAACTTCCCATTTAGCTTAACCAATTTGATTTGTATTTCTGTCCCTTATAAACCAAGAGAGTTTGGGCTCATATAAGGCTGTGGCAAAGCTCAAATGATAAAATGCATATGGAAACACAAACTATAAAGCAGTAAGAAAATCGAGGGGTTTCTTACTGTTCCTGTTCAACAGCAACAACAACGATAGCGATGATGATAATAACAATATTAAGAAGAATGGAATCTTACCAATATTCTTCCCCTCCAGCCATGCATTTTTCATACACAGGTCCCTCTAGCTCCCGGGGGCTGGGGAAGATGGCTTCATGATGGATGATGATGGTTTTGATGACTTCGTTGACGTGTGCCTGGCAGGACACAGGGTCCTGCCCATCAGGGATGTGCATGAGGGTGGGCCCGAAGCAGATGGCCAGGTTGTAGGGATCCATCATGTTCTCGTCACTATACTGCGAGAGGCTACAAGAAAGGAGGTACTCACAAGTCACCTGGGAAAGGGAAATATTTCCCCCTGTGGGTTCTTTCTTTCGAGGGCTCTACTCAACTCCAGGAGGGTTCCATGTTCTGTTTTAGGAACAGCTGCACCTGCAAAAGCCTCAGGACATCCCCTCCCAAAGAAGGCCAGAGCTGAGGCAAAGAGGGGCCACCCCACCACCCCCAAATGGCCAGGCAACTCACTGGTTGAGGAAAGCAAAGAGGTATCTCATGACCACGATGACCACTCGGGGAAGGGTGATGAGGATTTGCTGGATCTGGTGCACCCTGTCAGCTGGGTTCTCCAGTTCTGTAACACAGAGGGGCTTTTCAGGGGGTCTTTCATCCTCAGGGAGCCAGGCAGCCAACATTTCCTAGAGCAGTCCACACGGTTCTGGCCAAGACAGTTCTCTTGGTTCTAGGGATTGATTCAAGACCCTCGTCTGGCCACTCACAACAAGTATGTGAGTCAATTCACTCCCTTTTATGGATGAAGCCAGTATATACTGAGTTTCTGTCACCTGATATCTATGAGTCCTGACTAACACAGACACGGGCCATGTTCCCTGAACCTCTTGATGAACACCAGCCGCACCACAGGCCTGGCACAGAGTAGGCTGGAAATAAGTTTGAGTAAACAACCAACTCTACAGCTCTATACTGGCCAAGGAGCTTGTCTCTGAGCCTGGTTTCCAGGCCCATCCTAGACAGAGAGACGCTGGTATTTTTGTCATTTGGGCTACGGGCAGGAGCAGCAAGCTGGGCTTGGTAAGAAGATGGGCTTTGTGGGCTTTGCCTCATAGAGAGGGAAAGCTGGTGCGAACACTGAGCTGCCAGAGTTCTGATGTGTGCCTGCAGGGCTGATGCCCAAGCCTATGCCAGTTTCTCTCTTAGAAAACATGTTTTTCTCACATAGCCTCTCTCTCCAGCCTCCACATTCTGTCAGCATGTTCCTTCTAAAACACAGCTTCTCCTGTTTCTCCTCCATATCCCAGGCCTTTCACAGCAGGGCTTCTGCCAAGCTAGCCTACCTCACCTCCTAGCTGCCGCCCCTTCCCCAAGTTATCTGAAGATGATACGGAGTCATGCTTCTCAAATGAGGTGGCAGTGCATCTCTGGGCACTTACAAATTCATGGGGCATTCTTTGGGGTTGTCACAATGACCTAGAGGGAACCATTGGCATCTGGGATCCAGGGGTCAAGGTGCCAAATGTCCTGAATGTATGGGACACACAATACGGCACTGCGTTACCCTAAATGCCAACAGCACCCCCACGGACAAACTTTGTGCCAGGCTGTCTTCACCATGATCTCCCTCTCACAAAAGGCCTTCCTGCCCCTGGGCCTTTGCACACACTGGTGATCTCTCTACTCTACCCAGCAGACTCTAGCTTACCTTCAAAGTCTGAAACCAAGGGGCCTTGCCCAAGCCTCCCCACAGAGCTAAAGGTCCTTGGATATTTACTGATTCCACTGCCCTTTATACAGGCCACTCCCTGTCCTCAGCTTCAGTCATCAGTACCCTAGTACCCTTCCACTTCAATACATCACTTTCTTAAATACATTTATTTAAAGAGGAAATTTTACCTCATTCTGTAAATGAGAAACCAGGATCACTTGCTCTGATTAGGAGGTAACATAAAAATAGATAAAATGAAAGCAAAACAATGTTACTAAATTCTAGGTAGGCACTGTTCTACACAAAGTTTCTGAGACTGAAGCCTCATCTCTTTATTTAGAAGGGAGACTGACCTCTGAAATTCTCTCCTGGATGTAATCGCAGGGTTTAGGAGAGAACTGAGAAAAGATTTTTTTTTTCCCCACAGTGTGATTCAAGATGTGATCCAAGGTATGTAATGTTATGAGCTTATACCAGAGGCCAACAGGCTTGTCCCCTCAGGGCTATGCGCAGGAACTAGACTAATGGGACTTCTGGAAACACTAGCTGAGCACGTGACACGGAGCTCAAATACAGTTGGACCTTTGTGGCCTGGAATTTCTGAGGGTGATGTGGAGCTTGAAGTGGATCTGGAAAGATGAGCAGGAAGCAGTGTGGAGGAGAGCGGGGCAGAGGTAGCGTCTTTCATAACGGCAGGCAAGAGGCTTGAAGCTCCAACCCGCTGGAGCGTTTCCTGGCTGCAAATCCCTCTCAGAACATTGTGAAAAGCATCCCGATTACTACTGGGCATGGGACAATTTTCTGTAAATCACAGTTTATTCTAAAATACTAAGATTCTCATATTGTAATATTGAAAGCTTATTTTTAAAAATTCCCAAAATGTTGCCTTGGATTTGGGCATCGTACAGTCAAGGTAACTTGATTTCAGCCCCCTAGACTGGGCTTCTGCCTTCATCCAAGAGAACTCCGATGGCTTGTGACATCAGAAGAAGCCCACAGTCAATTTATTTTCACCATTTTACTCGCCTGTCATGTTGCTGACTTGACTCCCAGACCCTCTATGGCTCCCTATTACCCAAGGGGAAAAGTTCCAAAATCCTTACAGGGTCATTCCCCTCTTTCTCTATTTTACCCTTCCAGCCTCTTGCACCATTCACTGGCTAGAACACCTTCCTCTGGTCCCTTTAGTCTGTGTGTCCCCAAAGTCTTCCCAGGATACTCTGTCCACTCCTCTTGGAAGGCTCTGCTCACATCACTCTCTCAGTTGTGATCTGCAAAACCAAGCTTCCCTCTGCCTCTTCTGAGCTACATCCATACCCAATGGTACCATGCCATTTTCCATTATAAACCATCTTATTATCTCTACAACTAGTTTTTAAGTTCTATGAGAATAAGGGCCATACTGCTCCTTTCATACTATCCCTCCCATGTGCCTAGCACAGCAATGAGCCCATAGAACAACTTCAATAAAGGTATGTCACACAATTGATCCCTCTACCATACCACCTATGAAATACTTACTAATAGTAGATATCAAATCTTGAAACCTTTCCTTAGGAAAGAGTGGGTTTTCCAGTCCTCGGAAATACAGTTTTAAAACACCAGCGACTGAATTGATATCTCGTTCGTTTTGATCATCCACAAGTGGGTCTTCGCCTGAGAGGAGAGAGGAGATGATAATTCAGCTTGGTGAGGAGGCAGGAAATGTGCAGGTGGTGGGAGGGGATGGCCTGGTGTAGCCTGAACTAGGGGAGACATAGATGGGCAGCCCCCTTGACAGAGCAAGTTTAGAGTTCTCCCTATACCTGATTTTGAAAATGTTCAACTCGATGGAAATATCGTAAAAATAAAAAACTGAAATCACCCTTCACTCATGCTCATTAACTTACACTCATCTTTCCATATTTGCTTTCTCTCTTTACTCACATTTATTATTACTCAATGATTTGGGAGTATTTTGTAGACATCACAAAATGCCATTGCTAAATACTTCAACACATTTCTCCTAAGAATAAGGATATTCTCCTACATAGGCACATAACATCATTACACCTAAGAAAATTAACAATAGTTCCAAAACACCATCTCATATATAGCCCACATTCAAACATTCCCAATTGTCCTGTCTTTCATAGAATTTTTTCAAAGGCTAAGATCTAATCAACATAATTCATTTGGTTGTTATGTTTCCTTAGTCTTTGGAATGTAAAAGAGGCCCCAACATTTTTTATTGTTGGTTTGTTATAATGTTGCCTCTTCTGAGGAGTCCAGGCCACTTGCCTTTTGGAATGCCTCCCACTCTGGATTTGTCCCAATGTTTCCTCATGATTGGATTTAAGTTAAACATTTTTGGCAAGAATAGTACATGGGTGATGTTGTGGACACCACACTGGATCCAGAGGCACATAATGTCAGCCTGTCTTGCTGCTGGTGTTATGAAGTTTGGTCCATGGATAAAGGGGGTGACCTCCAGATCTCTGCACTGTAAAGTCTATTTTCCCCTTTGCAATAGTAGGTGTTAAATATAAAATGTTTTTGAAAATAACAAGTGATCTATGTGTAAGTCATTGTGCTCAACATGTTTCACCCAGTGCTTTTAACCTCCAGTGATGATTTTAGCCTAAATCAATTATTATCCTGGGGTTACAAAATGATGAATTTCTAATTCTGTTATTCCTTCTACATTTGTTAGCTAGCATTCTTCCATAAAAGAAGAGGCTTCCCCATGCTCTCTTTAAATTATTATTATTATTATTATTATATAACATCTTTGTGGGATTGTTTTTATAATTTTTAATTTAATGTGTCATAATCCATTATCATCACTATTCTTTGGGATGCTCAGATTATCCCCAATTTTGCCAGGGACAAATGTCCTTTATAGGTGACCTCCACTGAGCATATCCTTGCTTTCTGGCATAAAAGATGCTCATGGATCATTTTATACTTTCCCTGACCCAGATCTGGAATCAAACATTTCTCCAAGGGGTACTGTTTGCTTTTTGTAGGGAATGGCATTTAGAGACCAAGATCTAAGTTCCAGGTGTGCTCACTGGTACAGGAGTGCTATAAAGAGCTCCTAAACCTTTCAGGGGATAGAGGGAGAATACATATATATTTTTTTCATGAGTCCACACAGTTACTTCCAATTCATATTTAAGATTCAACATTTCCTTTATCTTCATTTATTTTATATTTGTATTTCATTTTGCTTAGTGAAAAATCTTGGTTCTGAATCACATTAATAATGTACTTCTGTATCTGCCTTATTCTACAATATACATAACATAGTTTTGAAATGTTAATAGCAATATCACCACTAACAATAAACCTACTACATAAAGTTTAAGATTTCTTTGCAGGGCTTTTGTTTTTGTTTTGGGGGCAAGGGGTTAGTCCTCAGAAAATATCCTGCTAAATATGTGTGGTCAGAAGACACAAAGAACATGAGTGGTTACCTAGGGTGGGGGGCTGAGGTTCAGGGAGTCTCATGAGTAACTACTCCTTATGGGTACAAAGTGGGTACAAAGTTTCTTTCGGGGATGATGAAAAATTTCTGAAATTGGATTATGGTGATGTGCACAATTCTAGTATATTGTACACATACTAGAAACCACTGAACTGTATAATTTAAAAATGGGTGAGCTTTATGGTATATAACTCAATAAAGCTGTAAAAATATATGACCAGAGCACATGTTCAAAAGTGACTCTCTTTGTGATGATCAATTTGATACATAGCTTGTTTCTATTTCTGTTTAATTTTAGGGACTGATTTTTTTTTTTTTTAAGAACTCCTTTCTTAAAAATTTTGCAGTTTTAAAAATATAAAGCAGTTACATTGTCCAAAAGTCAAAACTAGATAAAAAATTACATCCAGACAAGTCCTACTCTTCTCCTTTCCCTTCCCCACCTTACATTTAACCATTTTCATCAACTTCTGGTTTGCCCTGTGTTTTCTTCTCCCACAATAAGCAAATACATATATGAGAATTTTTTATTTCCCTCCATTTTTTTAACAGAAAATGTAAGTAGTATATAATACTGCAACATATTGCTTCTTTACTTCACAATAAATACTAGAAATCCCTCCATATCAGTTCTTAGAGATCTCCCTTATGCTTTTTTTTTTTTTTTATGGTTACAAAGTACTCTATTTCACTGGTCCACTATGACTTAACCATGGTTAAGTCTATGGATTGAATTAATCTATGAATTAATCTGTCTATGGATTGACATGTGACTTCTTTCCAATCTTTAGCTCTTAACAAATATTGCCACAACAAATAATCCTGTGTGTTTTATATTTGTGGAGGTGCATCTCTGGTCAAGTCTTAGAAGTGGGATTGTGGGTCAAAGGGTACATTTCATTCGACAGAGCCAAATTCTGTCCTACTGGGGCTGCACCATTCTACACTCCTACTGGCAACACAGGGAATGGTTTTTTCCCACAGCCTTGACCATAGAATGCTGTCAATCTTTCTATTTTTCCCCCCATTGGACAGGGAAAATGATATCTCAGGAGAACAACACTTTTCAATTTAATCCTGGGCTGTTCAGCTCAATCGCCCCGAGTTTCCAGTGGAGGAAGTGAAAGGAGACACAGAGCAATCCATCCACCCCCTCCCTGAAGGTGCTGACAGATGTCTTTTCCTCCTTCTCCCAGAACAGCCCACAGAATGTTCTAAGACTGGCAAGCAGTGAAGAGCAGAGCTGGAAATTCATACTTGGATCTCTTTACCCCACCTCCGTAGGAAAAGAATGCATGTCACTGCCAGGGCCTCTGCTAGCCCCAACATGCGTCAGTGCAAATGAGAGAGACCCCCCCACCCCCCCACTTGCTTCCTGAACCAGGTGTTGTGGCTTACAGAGCATGAACCAGAGCTCATGCTCCCACCTGCCCTCTTTGGCTGAGCACCCCCGCTCCATGCCCAGCCTGAATGACGGTATGTGGCTGCCCAGACACCGACGTTCCATAGCCCAACCTCTCAGATACCCCCAGAGAACAGGAGAATTCCTTGTGAGGAAGGATGAGAGAAAACATAAAAAAGCACTGCCTATACTGATATAGCACTTCTCAAGTGAGAAGCACATTCACACACATGATCTCCCTTAATCCTCCCAAGAGCACCGCCTGGCGCTGAGGAAGGCGTGGTTCCAATACCACCGTTCTCTCCAGTGAGAAAACTGAGGCCCAACAAGCAAAACGACTTGGCCACATTCACTGTAAAAACAGACACCAGCAGCTCCCAGGGCTCATAATGCCTGGGAGATATTCTTCCTTTTACCAGTGTCTGTCTGTCTGCTTCCACGCCTCTCTCCTACCTTCCTTCCTTTAGAGTAGAATCCCAACCTTTTCTTTTTCTTTTTCAAGAAAAAAAGTTTCTCTGAATGCTCCATACATAAAACAAAGCTGTCTTAGTTGAGCTGGGAGGAGAGGTCCACACCTCCCCCCCAAGCCCCCTCTCTGTTCCTCTAGCACCCCTTGAAGCCCCTCTGAAGGACTGGAAAAGTTCAAAACCTTTGGACTGCAATTAGCTATTTCTCTATTATTAGCCCATATGACCTTTGGGTTCTCATGATTCAAAAGCACATGGATTTTTCTTCTCCACAGTGCATGTTAGCTCCCCTCACCAAGCACGATCCACATATGGACTTTATATATACACATATATACTACCTATGTATGCATGCACATGCATGCGTGTACACACACGCGCGCGCACACACACACACACACACACACACACCATTTGCTCTTGCTTTTCCTCCCTGAAGGCACATAGTCCATGAAAGGAACCATCCAAATATTCCAAATATTCTCTCCGCCTAGCCCAGGACTTTGGCTCTCTGCAGGGCAAGTCAATTTTGGTTCCAGAAACAACCAGAATTCCAGACCTCAGGATGAGCAGGACGGTTTGTGGGAATGGTGGCTTTCTCCAGGAGAACTACAGCTAAAACTCTAGGCAAGTCTGAGAGAAAGCTGTGTTCACACTGGGCTGCTACCTTCCTGGGGGAGGAGGAATTGTTACCCAGCAGCCCTGCCTGCAGTACCCTCTTAGCCAGGTCACCGGGCACTTCGGGGGACTTGACAGCAGAGCTGTCGGTGCAAAGTGTGAACACAGTGTGTGCTCACAGGCTCTCAGGAAACCTGCCACCAGACTGGGTACACGGCAGGAAGCTCACAGGTGGCCTCTCACACAAGGACAGTTAGTTCTGTGGCCACAGGTTCTCCTAAGCCCCATCTTCGGTTCCTCAACAAGACAGCTCCTCCCAGTGTCTCCCCTTTACCCTCCTCTCCCTGGGACAGGATTTAGATCTCTGAAGGGCCAGGGCAAGAATGTATCAGACCCCACATGCCATGACTTCAGCCTCAGATCCAAACCCTATCCTGATCTGCACAGGTGAGAGACCATTGACTCCCCTTCCAGTCACCCCTCCACATAAGGAAAGCCTCCTGGCAGCTCTCTCATCATTGCATACAAAGGGGACAGTGGATAGGTCTGTGGGGAGAAATAAAAGAGATTTCCCAGGAAAACTGGCCTGAGAGACAACAGCAAAGCATGGCTCTCTCCATGGCAGGGCTACTGATTTCCTATCCTCTTGTGGGGTTTCGCCTTTGTTTTGCCAGACTGCAGAAAGAGCTCAAAACTTGCATGATGAGCTTAAGGCTTACTGACAGCAAAAAAAAAATCATATCATTATCATTTCCGCCTCAACTAAAACCCTGGCTGGCTCATGTCAGAAGAAAAAGAAAGTGGGTTTAGGAATAATAAGTCAAGAATGAATTTCCTACATGTTGCAATTTTTCAGAACCTTAAAGAAAACAGATCTGTGCTCCTTTCAACAGCCTCATACAAGAAGTGTAGGCAAGAACTTCACCCAAGAGAGAAGGAAGGGGGCCAAGGAAAAGAAAGACCCAAATCTCCTTGAACAAATGGCACAGGGTAGGCACCCTGCAAGGACTGAGGGACTTACATTTTAACAAATAAAAGGAAGAAAGGAAAAATGCACAATGCACTGGTTTAAAGAGAAAATTCAGTCACAAGTTAGAGTGTGTGGGATGGAAGAGTGGGTGAGGAGAGAAATACTGAGCATCCCCAGCCTCGGTCACCTGGTTGCCCAGTATGGAGAAATGCAGCAGGGGTGTGGGAAGCTACCAGTTTCAGGTGAGGTGGGAGGTGACCCTGAGGGTTAGCTGAGTAAGGAGCCAAACCCAGGGCACTTGGTTGGTGAACTTCAAGAAGCAGAAAAAGTAACAAGGAAATCTGGGCAGTAGCGAGCCCACAAAAGCCAGGAATGGATTTTTCTAAAAAAGACCTACCAGGAACAGTTTGTTTGTTTTTGTTTGTTTTTAGAATAAGCCACAGTTCACCACAGGTTCAGGTAGAGCAGAAAGAAATGGCTGCTGCAAAAATGAGATTCATTCTGGAATGAGGGAGAGAGGGAGGGGGTGAGCCAATTTGCATACTTGAGACAAAGAAAAAGCAGAAAACATTTTTGCTGCTGAGACTTGGGTCAGGTGATCTCTGCCCAGTGGGGCTCTGCCCAAGGTGATCCAAGGCCTATTTGGAGCAGGCACCCAAGCAAGCGACAGAAGGCACTGATCTCAGAAAATCACATTCAAGAAGGAAAGAAAGCGGTGCTCTTGGAGCAGGATTAGTGCTGGGCTGCCTGGTATCAGAAAGTTACTTACAGAACCTAAGGAAATAGGGAAATTCGAGGCAGGGGCAATTGCCAGGCTGGAGGCCCTGTGCAGTGAATTTACCCATGAGATTTAAGGAATTCTGTAATGCAATGAGACCAAGAAGATGGAACCAGCAAAGATTCTAGACCTGGTTCTGTTCATTTACAATGAACACAGGGCAGCAGGGGTGCTACGGAGTTGGGAGAAATGAAGAAACAAAACTTTGGATTGGGCTGTCCAGTGTTGTCAAGAGAAGCTCAGAGAATAATGACTAATACTTCCATCAGGGAGGCTGATGGGAGATACCTCTTGCTTCCGGGCCTTTGCATATGCTATTTCCTTAGCCTGGAATGACCGTTCCCTACTGTTTTTTGGTTCTTACTCCTTAAGCCTCAGCTTGGGCATTTCCTTTTCCATTCAAGAAGACTTCTCTGGGTTTACTACTCCTCCCCACCCCAAACAAGCTGGGCTAGGGGTTCCCATACCACCTAGTACTTACTCCATGGTCTGCTTAAACTGGCTCCCTACTAGTCATGACTGTCTTTTGCTCTGGCACAGTGTAAGGGCCCAGTGAATGCATGCTTGTTGGGATGGCAATAAACTCATGAGGAGCTTGCAGCAGGGGAATTCTGGGGCTTCCTGATTCTCAGTTCCCAAGATCCCTCAGCTCCTCTTGCTCCTTCGGCAAGATCCTGGAGCAGGCTCTAAAACAGAAGCTCCACAGGACATTAGGAGGCCATCAAGCACCACATCCAGTCAAATCTTGCGCTCTGAACCCGGTTCAAAGCCAGAGTGCCAAGGGCCACAGAGGTCTGTGCTGGGGACCATGGCACTGACTGCCTGGGGCTCACAGAGTGCTTCCTCCACTCCAGAGCTAGGCCACAGATAGAACTGCGGGGAACAGTGAAGGGATGAGTTTGCTCAGGAGGCACCCTCTCCAGAGGAAGCTGGGTAATAAGTAGGGAGACTTCCAGGGCTAGAACTAGGGGAGAGGCCTGCTCAGAGCACAGCCAACAGGGACAAACCAAATACCTTCCAAAACTATTAGGAAGATTATGTAGAAGGAAGGGTAAGACATGCTTTGTAAATTGGGACATGATATATTACAGGAAAATGGGTTCGGATTGGGGTCCTCATTTTTTTTTTGCCAAGATTTTACATTAAAAAAAAAATTAAGATATTCTAAAAGTTACTCAGTATTATCTGTATTCTTCCAACTTTTCTTAAAAAAGCAGCAGCCTTTTTGATTCACATTATAATTTCACGTGCTTTCCCTCTTTCCCAGCAACTACTGTACAGTCGCTAGAGAGAGTTGTGCTGGTAAATGTTTCACAGCCAACTCTTTAGACGGAAAAAGACGAAAGATCTTTGGCATTTGCCAACTTCTGCAGTGTAAATACTCCTGCCTTGGCTGATTTCAAGCTACCAAGGGGAAAGCACCGAATGCAGCCGGAAAGAGATATCGATACAAGCCAGCCCCAGCACATTGCTGGCTCTGAGACACACATCAACACCCGTCCTGGCTTCCTCTAGACACAAGCTTGAGATGGTGACTCTGCACCTACCTCTCTCAAAGGAATTTTTTATGTCATTGACTTCAACCTGAGATCCTGGAACTCGGAAGATCCCTTGTTGTTGGAGTCCTAAAAGAAACAAACAAACAGAAAATGCCATGATGCCTTGAGCTCATCAGACTGCTGGGCACACATGATTCTCCCCATTGCTTGTCTCTTTCTCCCAGCACTCTTCACAAGGGTCTTTCCCAGTAAAGATCTCCTGACAGAAGCCCAAAAGTAGCCTTTGCAATTAACTTCATCTGGCCAAAATACTCTGCACCATCCTGCTTCATGTGTCTGTGATCTCTTGTTGGGGTTTGAAGGAAAAGGCCATAAGAGGTTGATATCAACACAGGACCAGTGAATAACAACTTCCAATCTAGCCGAGGTGCACTTTGCCTATCAAGTACGCTAGGGACACTAGCACCAAGGAGCTTGGCCTGAGTTTACAAATGCCATTTCAATGTAACAGCCACAGAGATTCTGAACAAGAATGACCAATATCATTCACTTGACCATTCCCATCCTCTGCCTATTCAGACATCTTCTTCCTTCCAGGAAAAGCTTGAGTCTAGAGTGCATGCTGGCCTGGGATCAAGGAGCTTAGGGGACATTAAATTATCAAAGAAAAGGAATATTTTTCTTATGTGCTTCTGCAAGGCCATAACAAGGGGGACACCCCAACAGCTGATATAAAGTAACAATGCAGGATCGGAATCTATAGGGCTGAACAGTAACCTATAGAATTAAAGGAATTAAAGGGCCTCTCTCATCTTGAATGGGAATTCGTGGGGTGACTGTGATCTTCACCCTCACATTTAGTTTTTCTATATAAAACAACCCTTCACATTAAAATTTAGGAAAGTGTTTACCTCTAAATGGCAGGCTTTAGTCCAAGTTTGGTTTGTATATAGTATGTGCTCAATAAAAACATGTTTATGTCTTTCCTAACCAATCTTATGTCTTATATCCCACCACCCCCCACATATTCCCATTCAGTCACACTTGTCTTCCTTCCCATATTAGACCTTTACACCTGCCAGGCACAGCTGGCTGCTTCTACTCAAATATCAGCCCCTCAGAGATGTTTCTACTTACCACCTTAGCCAAACACAGCCCTGCCACCCTTTAGCCATTCTCTATCCCCTTTTCATTAGTTTCTTTGCATTATCACTACCTGAAATTATATTATTTCTTTATCTGCTTTTTCCCTTGCCCTTCTAATTGGTAATGTAAGCTACTTAGGGCCAGCACCTCACCTGTCTTATTCATGCCTATATACCCATTGTCAGAACAGTGCTTGCTACACACTCTGAAAATCAATTTTTAGAGGAGTGAACGAATGAATAGATGGAAGCCCAAGGGCAGCGCTGGCGACACCATGGTTAGCGCATCCCAGACATTCTATTTCCTTTCTGGAACTGACTAGAGCCAGTTAACTGACCATTCACTGTCTAGCTACCTTCAGTGCTCAAAACACAGACTCCTGAGGTGGGGTGGGAGGCATGAAGGAACTGAAACAGTTCTCCTACCCATGCCCTTCCTGATCCTTGGTTTTCCTAGTTCCTCAGTTTTCTCACCACCACCTTAGTCCCCAGACACACAAGGCTCAAAAAGGCACTCAGCACAGCACCTGTGCCAAGAAGCACTTTCTCTCTAGGAAGCAGGGCAGTAATGGGAAATCCTCTGAGACTGATTAAAACCTCATTTCATGTGAGGACAGCCCAGTGCCTGCTCTGGAGAGAGCGGAGAACACGCCCCGGGACTGCGCTTACCGTATAAATTGATGTACCGAATGCAGCTTTCGACTACAAGCGGGATAGCTTGTCCTGAGTCCTGAAGAGAAACAGTCGTGAGTTGTACTGGGCTCGGCAGCCACCACAGGGAAAAAGACACTGCAAACACAGATTATGAACTCAAGCCAGAATATTAGTACCATCGGATTAGTTGGAAAATAAGCAAAGAGCTGCTAATCCTCAAGTCTCCACAAACAGTTAAAACAGAAGGTCTTCAGTTAGGTGCAGAAAAAGGCATAGCTATGATAATTGGAAAGAAATGCTCTGTCTTCTTACTTAGCTGGGAAGAAATCAGGGCTCAGAAGGCTTGGCAGGCACATCTGGGAAGGGGAGGGAACCCACTGCTCGGAGAGGGCTGGAGTTCGCTCTTGAAGAGTGCTTTGCCTTCCCCTCCATGTTGTCCCACTCAACCCTATGCTCCCAGTGCTCAAGGATAAAAAGGCAGGATCGAGACCTCCTTCTAGCACTGCGGTACCTGATGCTTGAAATAAGAAGAACGCACTAAGGGAAGCAAGGATGGCCCCCAAGGGTCCTTTTGAGCTCGAGAAAGGAAGGCCAGGTCTACTCCTGAGGTTACATCCTAAACATCCAGATGGATACTTTGTTCAACAATAAAGGTGTTATAAGGAGAAGTTCTAGAAACAGCTAATGTCAGCCACTGACCACTGAGTGGCCAACCTTAGTCAAAAAGGCTGAATAAGGGGCACCTGGCTGGCTCAGTGGGTTAAAGCCTCTGCCTTCGGCTCAGGTCATGATCCTAGGGTCCTAGGATCGAGCCCCACATCGGGCTCTCTGCTCCACGGGGAGCCTGCTTCCTCCTCTCTCTCTCTCTGCCTGCCTTTCTGCCTACTTGTGATCTCTGTCTGTCAAATAAATAAATTAAATTAAAAAAAAACTGAATAAGACACAGCTCTAAACTTACGCAGGGCAGGAGGTATGAATATATTTTCAATTGCATCTTCCTAGACAGGCCCACAACCACAAAGAGCTGGGCAACAGGTAGTTTTCTCTCGGATTCCATAATTGGTTGATCGCTCTATTATTCCAAATCACTTGAAGAGCACAAAATCTTTTTTTAAACTTTCTGTAAAAGGGGCCAAATTAAATTACTAACCTCCTCAGGTGAGGAAACAAGGCACTTGTAATATGTTCATGTAAGAGACAGAAAAACCCCACGAATTTCGATGCCTTTGTGGCTCCTCCACACCCCACCTGTGAAGCCTCTCCTTAGTTAACAACAGTCAGGGAGAGGATAAAATGGACCCTGTGGCTATAGGCAAGGTGGGCCATGCTCTAGAAGTCAGTACTAAAGACAGGTTCCATCCAGTTGAATGGGGCTAACGGACCTTTCTAGTAAATACCTGGTTCCTGGTTCGAGCATTTCTTCTTCCTCTGATAACAAAAAATAAACAGGCAGCAGAGCAGGAGAAAAAGAAAAGATTACGCAGGAGTAAGATCAGTTAGAGTAAGCAGATCCTTCAGAGTCCGTGAACGCGGAAATGCAATGGCAGCCAGCAACGGTCCTGGGGTGACGGCCAACCAGCCTGCTGGTGGGGAGGGCTGCCCCTGTACCTCAGGGCCTCGTAGGGGTTCTGCACCCGGCCCCAAGCCAGCCTGCCGGGTGCCTGCCTTGGACACGAGGTGGCAAAGAGGCCTCTATCAGTCCTTGGCAAGCATAAGGATGGTGTGTACGGAGCCCCTTCCTCATCCCACCTTTAGCTTCTCCTCAACAGGGGCTGTTCACCCACCAATGGGCAAGGGCCCACCTAAGACACCTTAAGGCTAGCCCAGTTGCCCGTAAGAAGGAGGGACACACACCTTCAGGCATCTACTGTAGCACTGTCCCTGCAAGTCAATTCGGGAAACCTCATTTCACCAAGTGAATTTCACCAAGATTGTGTTTATGAGGTGTCCTCTGGCTACAACCTGACAGGATTCCACCTGATTCCAAATTCAAACAGCTTCCGTGGTTTCTGACCAAATACCCCAGGTAGCTTTTCCTGGGTGCTCATTGGCTTTGCTCTCCTTCCTACTCCCTGACCCTCACAGTGGCACTGAGAATACCTCAGGGAACCCCAAAGCTGAGAAAAGCCTGGGGGAGGGACGGCAGTAGGGGGTCAAAACGCTCTTATGGTCTTGTAGGTAGAACTGGAGCCTTTACTGTCACAAAGCCACCCATTTTCAGGGGAGCTCCATGGATTCTTTCTTCCGTATGTACAGCAGGCCAGGCTCTGGGGTGTGAGCTTTATTTCATTTGGGCTCCTTGAGAGGCTAACCTGAGAAAGTGGAGGTGGCATGCCTTTTGGCTGGTGTCACCTGTCCAGTCCCCAGCATCTCCACAAGTGGTACTAAATGTTGGCTAAACCTACCTGATTCCTAGAACTGAGCAAACAGCCTGTCAGGTAGGACTCTATGAGCAATGTTGTAAAAGCTAGTGACCGCAGCGATGACCAGCATTTCCATAGTGCTTACTCTGGGCCAGGAGTGCTCTGGAAACACGGCACAGATTAGCTCATTTGATCTCATCACACAGTCATGAGGTAGGTAATCAATAGAAAGAAGGCAGGGAGTCTCCCTCCCAAAATTTATAATAAAATTTAAATGGGCCTCAAAATTTATAAGAAAAATTGGGTTTCCTTCTGTCTGAGAGGGGGAAAAATGAAGGATTTTGTAAAGGGCCAGTTCCAACGATCCCAGAAATCTATCCATCATTCTTAACTTGGGGATGCTGCCTTGTCCCACGATACCCTCATCATCACAGAGTTCCAGCAATGTCCTTTTACTGAAAAACCTTTCACAGGTTTGGCACTTCAAAGCCGGGCATTCTTCGTTGGTGCAGTTTTCTCCCAGAGAGCGCGTGAATCATAAGAGAAAATTAAATTCCATTCACAAAAGTTGAAGGGCTGAATATATTAAAACTGCCTTTTCATTCTCTGACAGCTAATTGTCCTTGAGGGTGAGCCCCTGCTGCCTGCGAGTCTGTCTCTGCACCGCCCCCCGCCCCCAGAGCCGGCACATGGAAGCGTTTGCTACCTGCCTGACATACTGTGGTAAATGTATAGTGTGACTATGAAGAAATGCAATCGTGTTGAACAAATATACTTTTTTTTTTAGTCACATGAGTGTGTTTATTCTTTGAACTAGTCCCTCGAGGACTTATTCCACCACATGACCCACACTAAGTGGCTTTCCAGAGCCAGTCACCCAGCCCCACTCTAGCTCATGCCTCTTGCCATTTTGTGCCTTCAGCGGCGTTGCAAAGCAGAATTGAGTAACACCTTTCCTTCCAATGGCCAGACTGTCCATTCTAATATGAAATTTTGGCACCACCGACCAAGGCCATGCTACAGGCTCCAAAGAAAACTGAACAATGGCACCAAAGATGATGTATTTAGAGTAAGAATGTGGCTTCCCAAGGTGACTACCTCCTCCAAGAGGCAAACATGTGGCTGAAGTGCTGATGTGTTTATCACAAGGGATGGAGTCAGATGGTCTGACAGTCACACATTTTATGTAGCAGCTCTCTATTCAAAGACTATTACATTAAACAGAAGACCTAATTCTCGTGTCCTGTTAGATAAGAGTCAGTTCCTTCCAAGTGCCCGGACTGGTCATCCATTTTCAAAGAGCTGAGCAAACTCGGGTAGGCATGCCTGTCTCAGAGCTTTCATTCATTGTGTTCCTTCTTTCAGGGATTCCCAACCTGCCCCTCTCCACTTTGTCCCTACCCACCCACTGGAAGCCTGGTGCGCTCTAGGGCTCATGGCTCTTCATGCTCTGAGCTCTCATAGCACTGGATTCCATGGGGTCATTCACAGACGGCTCTTCCTGAATCACCTTATCTTTCAGCTTTCCATGCTGAAAACTTCCTGGGTGGCACCATACACTCCCTGAGGGCACAGAGAATAGCTTATGTGTCCTTCAGTCCCATCCTGGCTATGGAGAGCAGCTTTTCCAAGGGCAAGGGTGAATGAGATGAAGTCTTGGTGGAGACAGGAGGGAAGATAAAGAAAGAAGGACTCTTGACCCATTTTCCCATGACCTATTAGATGGCAAACTGCTCACTCGGGCTTCCCTCCAAACAGTACCTCTTTCCTGATGGACCCAGTGGCACCCTTCCTTTTGGGATCTTCCATGTCTCTTTCCTCTGAGGTAGCCTGAAGCAGCCTGTGCTGTTCCCTGCCCCTAGACAGTCCCCATTGGTGCCCTACTGTTCCTCTGTCCCCTTCCCCTACTGTCCCTTCCCTAGAACTCAGCCCACAGGCAGAGATAGCTGTGGGACCCAGGCTGCTGGCTCTGCCTACCCAGTTCCATGTCTGCCTGCTGCACACACACACCCCCTTCCCCCACTGAACTCCTTCCTGGGAGTCCCATGAACAGCATGTCAAGACGGAGGACGGAGTACCTGAGCCGGGGCAGCCTCCATGGCTCCAACATTACCAGCAAAGCCTGAGAACATTAACATTTCTCCTGACTGACACCAGTCTTCTTTTCTGCAGAAAGTCTCTTCACTGGATAATGGAGGGTTCTCAAATAACTGGCAAGGGCCCTTTCCCCTGCTCCCCCTAGCTCATGTTCCTCAAGCATCTCCCCCACCTGCTGCCCTTTTCAACTCTCTGGCCAGCTTCAGTTACCTTGAGTCACTCGTTCTCTCTGGGATGCCTTGATCCTGTGCCCTTTGCCTCTAGGAGGCAAGAAAAAGACAAACTCACTGGGCTCAGACATTTTCATTTTTAATTTAGGATGTACGGGATGCATCTGGAATTCTAAAGGGATTACCTCAAGAAGCAAAACAAGGTGGGAGAGTTTTCTCTCAAAAATTTTATGTGTTTCCTTTCTCTGTATATTCTCAACCAAAAAAAAAAAAAAATTACTTGTATAAAAACACAGTTACCCACAGGGATTTTCTTTGTGTTTCTTCCAACTAACCACCTCTTGGGAGGCGTGGATGCGAAGCAAGGTAAGGTGGTTTCTCAAACTGTCCCTGGGGCTTCTAGGACCGCAGTTCCTGAAGCAGGAGAGCATGGCTGGCAGGGGCTACGGTGGTGCTGGCATTTCAACCTTGCTTGGACTTCATGGGCTTCATTGGGATCTTAACCAGGGAAAGCACTTAGAATCAACTGGTCAGAGACAAAAGCAGCTCTGCTTGGAAGCCCTTATTAAAGATAAGAGTAAGCTGTTTGAGGAACTAGCTCGCCCCAGGGCCAGGCCCAGGGCATGAGTGAAAGTTCTGGTTGGTCAGGGCAGGGCTGCGGGCCAAAGGGACAGGTGGAGAAAGGCTGCCATTACATTGGGCGCATTCGCGGACTCCGTAGCTCCCCAGCAAGTACCTTAATAAACGCTTCCATACAGCCGTTAAATAGTTTATGGCTACACACTGAGAGAGGCCTAGGTCTCCTCATTTTCTGTGGTTTAGGGGGAAGACAGGGGGGCCTAGGGAAAATGGAACAAAAGAAAACAAGAAAGCAACGATTGCAAACATACAACTGGGAAAGACGCTCTTAAAACCCGTGACTGGAGAAGAACACAAAATGCAAATGGAAACCCTTGAACCCCAGCACATTGGTGTCCGATGCTCCATCTGAAGGCCTTTGGATGTTTAAGGGGATCTCAATTTACCCACAATGTTAGGCAGGAGCAATGCTCATATAACACAAATGTATTCTAGATTACAGGGGAGAAATAATATGTAGCCAGGAAACCATTGCAACTCCAATCAGAGGCTGTCATCCCGCAAAGCTGACCAGATGGAGGAGGAACCAGGGGAGAGAGATGTAATCTGTAGCCTGAGAAAGCAAGAGACTTTCAATGATGATTGGAAGGGTTAATTTTCATTAATTTGGCTTAAATTCATCACCAAGTCTCAACTCCCAATGTACCAGGGCACTGATCTTTCTAATGCCTCTTGGCATTTCAAATGCACTTGACTAATCTTTATTGCATTGATCTAAGAGCCAGGCAATTATTACTCTCATTTTTAGAGATGAAGAAACTGATGCCTGGAGGGAGGCTACAGCTTTTTTGGGGGTCCCAGGGTAACCCAGGGTAATGATTATATCCTGTGCTTTAGTCAAGTACACTTTTGATTAAAGCACTTTCAAATCCATTATCACACTTAACATTAGCTCCACCCTGTTCAGACAGCTCCATTTTACAGAGGCAGAAACCAAGGCCTCAAGAGAGGGACTGGCAGAGCCAGGCCCCAAACTCAGGCCAGTCACAGAGCCTTAGGGCACTTGTTCATTTCCAGCCAAGGACTCATTCCATCCCATTAACCCTTGCCAGCAGAGGACCTGTTGGGTCAGGTTGAAAGTGTCTTGCTTTACTTTAGGATCTCCATTCCCTGTGCTCCACTCTTGGCTCCAGGGAGGGGAAACCATACTACAGTTCACCAGAAACAGTGAAACAGCCACAAACACCAGACCAGTTTCCAGAGTTGCTCACCATGCATATACCTGTGTTGGCTTATTTGCTCATCTTTCGCCACCCTAGTTGGCCTGACTCAATGACCCCAGCCTCCCAGGGCAAAGGGCTTTCTGAGGTTAGGAGGAGGGCCCCTAACTGAGAGAGGCAGTTCATTTTCAAATGCCTTGGTTCACAATTTGGGGAGCAAGAAGTGGGGACCCAGCTTGGCACAGGTAATGTCCACATATGACAAGCAAAGACCTGGTCCCCCAAGTCTTGGTTGATTTCTGTGAATGGGCAAGAAATCTTATGGATTGTGGAGCCAATCGAGGTGAAAGAGATTCATGCTGCCTCTCTGCTCAGTGGCCTTATCGTGCCTGTCCTCCTCAGCGGCCCAGCCACCTAGGGAAACCTCCTGAGCTTCTCCTACATGTTTGAGTACTGAGCAAATGCTGCTAGCTCCAGGACATGCATGGGCAAAGACACAGCTGAATCCAAGTATCATGCCACCCAAACATTGGAACCAAAATAACAGCACAGACCAAAATTTTAAAAAGAAACAACAGGCAAGACTATTTTGAGCCCATTTTGGATCTATGTCAATTTGGTTAGCTAAGTCCATGTCATTTCTTTTTCATCAGTTACCAATTTTTTGAGGATGTGGGTACGTGGGGGTGGTACTTCTTACAGTGGATCTGCTTTTGAGTTTCCAAATGCCAAAAGAGAGAGTAAAAAAACTGTGACTCGAGGCCACAGGCTTCAATCTTGGGATTAGGAATAACTCGAGGATAGCAACTGCGCCACCTTGTTTCCCTAGCATTCGGGGTTTCTATTTGTGAACATTCTCAGATGGTTTCCTCATCTCACACCCTCACAACAACCCTGTGAGGTAGGCAAGGCTGATTAAATCCACTTGAAACATAAGGCAAATGAGCCCGTGAGAGATGAAGGAACTTTCCAAGCATCTCACAAATAATATGTGATTGAAGCTAAGAACTGAATTCAGCTCTTCCTCTTCAAGATTCTGGTGTGAGTGTGAAATTGGGAAGTTGATTTTTATCACCGAACATCTAGCAGTTGCTTTAAATTATCTATTAAACTCCCATGGCCAGCAAAAGTAGAGATTCTTAATGCAGGGGCTGGACACCCAGCTGGAGGGTTTTCTGAAAGTAAGTCTTACGGAGTTTTTTTCTTTAAGTTTATAAAATGGAATGAAGGGGGGAAAGGATACTTTTCCCATTTCTCCCGCCCAATCCAGAAAGCAAAGAACTGCTCAAACCACACTGGGATTTCTTTCTTTGTGTGATGTTCTGGGTACTGACCAGAAATCTCTGACAAGGAAACGTAGCTATCCCAACTTTGCATGACATCAAATCAATTTTGACTTACTGAAGTGCTGGGTGGGACACAAAGTGGGGAGCAGGGGGGCAGCTCAGCCAAGGAAAGTGGGGCAGCCTAAGCCTTCCATCTCTTCTGCTGTTCAGTTGCAGAGCAAAAAGGAAAGAAAGAGAAAGGCAGGGAAAACAGGAACAGAGAAAGCCACGGAGAGGAAGAGAGAGAAACCAGAGACCAATGTCCCCTTTCTGCCTTTCAATCAAGATGAAAATTTACATACATTGGCAACATAAGAATTGGCCTCAAAATTATTCTGTGACCAAAAGAATGGTGACTAAAATGTTCCCTAGATAACCCCATAGATGTGGGTGTCGATATCCAAAATGGTGCCAATATTGTAGTTCAGAGGCAGTCAGGCCCTTGGAAGCTGTGCATGGGTATGCATAAGGTTCCATCTGTTTAGACAAGAAATCTCATGTGTTTTCATCGCTAGTCCCAACCACAGGGACTAGCCGACCTAGGTTAGAGAAGCCAGTCTATAGCAAGAAAAATCACAATCAAACCTTATGCTTGCATCTTGCTGCCCCATCTATCATGCACTTTTCAAGTGCATTATTGCATCCAGACCACCTCGTTACAGGGTTATGAACTAGCATTATTCTAAGATCAGGTTCTGAAAAGTGAGAAAAAAATGTACCGTATTGCAGCCCATCTGCAAAAATTGGTCTACACACGGCCAGCTGCAACTTGGCTGAGGGGACCTGCTCAAAGGATCATCTAAAATGAAACTAACCTTGGGCAGGAAACCATGGAAGATACGGAGAGCCATAGCATAGAAACATCTCACCCAGGGCCTTTAGGATTAATTTAAAAACCACTTCAAGTTGGCAGCGCATTACACACAAATTTTAAATGAGTTTTGGAAGAAAGGGGAAGCTTTTAGTTTGCTAACAAAGTTGCCTCTGACCTTGGCCAAAGGCCAGAGTACAGATGGCTGGGTTTGCAGTTTAGTGTAGTACGTCTAAGTGGGAGGTCTGCAGTCACAGCTTGCATTTCCCAGGCCCTAGGTCAAAGAGGGTGTGGAAGACTACATCTCAGATGGCTTTATTTAAAAATTTAAAAAAAAAAAAAAAACAAAACTCAACTTTTCTCTAAGTTAGACCCTGGGACCTGGCCAAGGGTTCGATTACAGATCTCTCCTGCAATCTGCTAGAACCATCTTCTTCTGCTTGAGTTCTAGGAATTAGGAAGAAGTGAGGGATGGCTCAATTTGTCCCCCATCTGTTTTCCTATTTGCAGACTTTGGTGTAAAATGTGGCTTATGTTGTTTGGGGACTATGACAACATCTTCTTGCCAGATAATCTAAATAAATAAATAAATAAATGAGTTTGTTTCTGGAAAGTATTTAGAAAGGGACCCTGCACATCTGCTGACCCTTTGCTGGAAGGTCCTCGCCTGGCATTATGAATCACCCTGATATTCCCAGACTTCTGGGGCCAGAGGAACAGCTGCACAGCTAAACTTCTGGGAAGCCCTCTGTCTCCCCATCCTGATCCCAGCAAAGTGAAAACCTCAGAGCTTTCCAAGCCTCTTCCCAGCCAACTCTCTTCCAGATGGACAGGAGGGAGTTGATGGTTCATCTTCCCTTTCGCCAAGTAGAACAGCTTTCCAGGATTCTGGGCCACTGGCTCGATTCGTGTTGGGCAGTGGGGTAACTATTTGCTGGGAACTTGAAAGGAAAGAGATGGGTTCTAAGGAACAACCTGGTCAGCAAAAGTGTTGCTTAGAGATCTCAATACTCTGAAAGTAGATGAAAGGTCCACTCACTGAAGGTCAACCCTTCAGCTACCACCTGATGAGTGGAAAGTGTTCACTGGCTCTGGTCTGCTCAGGGAAAAGCGCAAAAGGTAATGTTGAGCAAGCTGGAGAGAAAGCAGAAGTTGCCCATTTGTTACTGTCTCAGCAAGGGACTCCCCCATCAGTCCATCCAAGTGCCCAGGAGGTGTGAAGCCAGGGTGTGGGCAGTAGGGGCATCTGTACGCGCTTGCGTGGCTATGCGCATGCATATGCCCAGACGTGTGCCACATGAGCCAAACCCAAAGACCTGGCAAATGGGGACCCCAGGCTGGGCCCTCTGCCTGGGGAGGGCAGTTTGCTCAGCAGCCAAAGAACAGATGGGGAGACAGGTCAACAGTTATCCCACAGCTTCTAGCCTCTACTGATTGTCCTCAGCCACTATGCAATATATATTACCGTCCCACCAGATGGATAGCGCCAACAGAACACACCCCACTTTTCCATAGCAGCTTGGGGAAAGGCACCCTCCCTATCACAGGCCTGAAGGGGCATGGCTTCACCAGCATGATGCTAGGACAAGCAGAACAGCCAGCCTCTCTCAGCACAGCCATACCATCCCCTCAAGACACTGGTGAAGAGCTATCCTGCTCTAAAAACAGCCCAGCTTCTCCAAGCTCTCAGCAGCATCTGCTTTCCCACCTTCCCGCCTTCCCACCTCTCCTGCACTTCCCAGCCCCTCCCGCTCCCCATCTCAGGCAGCAGGTGCCAAAAAACAAGATCCCCAAGTCTTACCTGGTTGTGCCACATTCTGCTCTCTCTCCTGGAAAGAAAGGTATACACTGATGTTTAATTGTTTTTGTTTTTTTTTAACCAGCAAACATTCATCTTTTTCTAAAAACAAGAAACAAATGAACTTAATTATTTGTGAAATGGGAAATAGAATTTTGCCTAAGTAATGGTCTGCTGGAAAGAACTGGGTCTTATTAAATACCCAGGGCCTCCTAGCTGTAAGGTTACGTTCACATAAATTTCATTTTGTATTGCTCACATGTATTTTTTTTTTTCAGTGATTTTCAGACTGCAGCCTGCTGACCACTTGCATCAGAATCTTCTGGGGGGCCTTATTAAAAGTGCAGATTTGGGGGCTTTCCCATGGGCCTTCTGGATCAGAATCTCTGGGCTCAGACAGGAATCTGCATTTTAACAAGCACCCCAGGTGATCCCTTCTGTGCGTGCTAAGACTTAAGAACTCAGGCACTGCTTTTTATCAACAAAGGTTGGTTGATGAGGTGGCTGGATGGCTCAGTTGGTTAAGCATCTACCTTTGGCTCAGGTCATGACCCCAGGGTCCTGGGATTGAGTCTCTCGGCAGGCTCCCTGCTCAGCAGGAAGTCTGCTTCTCCCTTTTCTGCTACCTCTCTGCTTGTTGTCTCTCTCACTCTCTCTCTCTCAAATGAATAAATAAAATCTTAAAAAAAAAAAAAAGGTTGGTTGAGCACCTGTCATATATTTGGCCCTAGAGCAACAGATATAAGATACCTCTTGTTGTTCCTTAACCCAGCCACACCCTTACCCTGACCCCTCCTGTCTTCACTCTCAGCTGAAGACCTTCTTGCTTCCTTCACTAGAGAAGAAAATCAATAAGACAGGTCTTGACGTGCTTCCGTAAGACTCACCCACCCACCTGTGCCTGCCCATTCACTCTCTACCTCCTCTCCTCTCCAGTATCCTGGAGAAGCATCCCGATTCTGTCAAGCCCAGACCTCATACTCAAAGTCCCAGCCCCCTCTGCCCATCTCAGGTGCTTTTCCTGCAAGTGCCCCCCACCACCCCAAACATGACCAATGTTTTCTTTCTTCTGGATCATTTCCATCTACATATAAACATGTTCTGGATATGTATAATCTAGCTTCGAAACCTCCCCTGGGCCCCCTTTCTGCCTCTAACACCATTCCCATTTCTTTCCTTTACAGCAAAGCTTTCGGAAGGAGCTGTCTAGGAAGGACTCTTGCTTCCCCCACTCACCCCACAGAGGCTGGCTTCTGACCTCACCATCCACAGGGACTGACGGCTCCGTGTGGACGAATCCACCGTCTTCGCTGCTTTTATCTGACTTCTCAGCATCAACAACTCACTGAATCACTCTCTTCTTCTTAAAACGCTTTCTCCTTGATTTTCATGACTCCACACTTGCCAAGGGTCCCTCCTGCCCTATAGGCTGTTTCTCAGTTTCTCTTGCTGTCACCTCATCTGCCCAACCTCTGACCTCTAAATGATGGGATGCCCCCAGAAGATGTACCCGGATCTCTTTCTATACACCCTCTCTGCCTAACCATGACCGAAGTGCTTACCAAAGACTCCCTAATCTTCCATTTCCAAAGACTCCAGATCTTCCATTTCCTTGGAATTCCAGACTCCTTGCCACTGCCTTTCTTTTCTATTTTTTTTAAATATTTTATTTATTTATTTGACAGACAGAGATCACAAGCAGGCAGAGAGGCAGGCAGAGAGAGAGGGGGAAGCAGGCTCCCCGCCGAGCAGAGAGCCCAATGCGGGGCTTGATCCCAGGACCCTGAGATCATGACCTGAGCAGAAGGCAGAGGCTTAACCCACTGAGCCACCCAGGAGCCCCTTTCTTTTCTATTTTAACAGCTTTGTTAAAGCATAATTTACAAAGCATAAAATCCACCCATATGAAATGTATGATTCAATTATTTAGTAAATAGTCAAAGCTGTGCAACCGTCACAACCATTCAATTTTAGAATATTTCCTTCACACGAAAAAGAGCCCTTGTGCCAACTCACAGTGACTCCCCCTTCCCATCTCCAGCCTAGGGCAACTGCTCATCTATTCTCTGTGTCTATGGATTTGCTTATTCTGGACACTTTATAAAAATGGAATCATGTAATACACAGTCTTTTGCATTTGGCTTATTTCATTCAGCGTATGCTTTTGAGGTTCACCCACACAGCACGACTCAGTACTTCATTCCAGTTATGATGCAGCAGAGAACATCTAGGCCAGCGCTGCCCAATAGAAATGTAATGGAAGCCACAATTTCTAGCAGCCATGTTATAAAAAGTGAAGAGAAATAGCTGAGATTAATTTTAATAACACACTGTGTTTAATTTAATACATGAAAAATGTTATTCGATGTCTAGCAACATAAAAATTCATAAAATAGTATATATATATTTTTTTGTGTTAACTCAGAAATCTAAAATTTTCTACCTTTTACCTTCTGCAACCTGTTGGGATCTTTAAAAGTATATTTTATAGTTAGTGGCTCAGTCATTTTCAGAAGGTCAGACTGTCTGGACCCGGCAGACACTGGTTCCATAATGTGCTGCTAAATCTTGGCCCAAAATGGTTATGTCCCATCCCTTTTATGGATAACACACTATTCATTCTTGAGGTGCTACAGTGAATTGAAAAGCCACCGTATCTAGGGTATAAACCCTAGAGCTTACAGACTACCCGGAGCAGTAAAAAGGTCAGAGAGCTAAGACTCACATGATGATAAACTAAGAATCCTCTGGCCAATAAAACAGCACAGCCACAGCCAAGGGCATATAGGGGTGTGTTCTTGTTCCCAAGATGTGCCAGTGACATTTACAACAAGGAATGCCCATTTGCAAGACACCTAGAAGCTTTTGACTTGTGGGTCTGGGATTGATCATGCTAACAAAATTTGCTTCCAAGAGAGTGCTTGTGTTTCCTCTAACTTATGGCTTCTTTGAGCTATCCTGTCAAAAGAGTGCTTGAGAGGAATGGATTACACCAGACACTTCATTAAAAAAAAAACAAAAAAAAACAAAAAAAAACAACTTGCATCTTCTCAATCAAAATATTCTGCTTGACCCCGTATTTCTCACCTGTTTCCAAAATTTTCAGTGTCCCTCCCAATACAAAATAGCCATCTGAGGACATAAAAAGGCCACTGATGCTGGTATAACCCCAGCCCAGCCCACTCTTGGATGAGTTTTCTACTGGATGGAAGGGTCCGTATATCCAGGTAGTGGTGAATCATCCACTGACCCTCAGAAGAATGAAGGAGCTGAGATTTTGAGGTCACTTTGGCCTGCGCAATTTTTTCATGCTTGTTGTCCAGTGGGCAAGAACTTGACCCATCTAAGTCAGTGTGCATTTTCCCCTTTCACCCAGTGCCCTAAGAATCCACATCTACCTGTATCAGGCAGTGGGGATACAAATGTGACTCGAGATTTGGTCTCAGCTGAAGTTCTTTTCAGTAATTTGGTAATTTATTAACTTTAGAAAAAATAATATACCAGTGTTCATTACTTGTGACAAATACACCGTATTTACTGATGTCAGTAACAGGAAATACTGGATGTGGAGTCTATGGGAACTAATGGCACCATCTTGCAACCTTTCCGTAAATCTAACACTATTCTGAAACAAAATCTATTTTATTTCATTTATTTATTTTTATTTTAAAGATTTTATTTATTTGTTTTATTTATTTATTTACGAAAGAGTGAGAGATAGAGAGAGTGTGTGGGGGGAGGAGCAGAGGGCCAGGGAGAGAGAATCCCAAGCAGACTCCACACCAAGTGTGGATCCTGATGTGGGGCTTGATCTCACGACCCTGAGATCATGTCCTAAACAGAAACCAAGAGTCAGATACTCAACCGAATGAGCCACGTAGGCACCCCTAAAATAAAGTCTGTTTTTTAAAAAAACCCAAAACCTCTCCGGAACTGACCAGTCTAATAAGGCCCATGCCAGTTTTCAAAGGAAGCACAATGGGCTTTTCCACAGCTGGGTTACTAGAGAACAGGACTCTGGAGATTCTTCTTGATGGCTCTTTCTTAGCAGCCCTTATATTCAGAAGCTGTATTTTCCTGCAGTTTTTCATAGCTATTCAGTCTAAAACTCAGATGGAGGACTGGTAAATCACATCTCAGAGCAAGGTGTAGGTGAAGACTAAAGAAACTTGCAAGACCAAGCTGGTCAGGAGTTATGCCAACCCAAGCTAATTATTATTATTATTTCATTCAAGCCATTCAGGCAAGGGCAGGAAGAAAAGGTTGCATCAGATAGCATACAAGAGTAAGCTGGAGGGGCGCCTGGGTGGCTCAGTGGGTTAGAGCCTCTGCCTTCGGCTCGGGTCATGATCTCGGGGTCCTGGGATTGGGCCCCGCATCGGGATCTCTGCTCGGCAGGGAGCCTGCTTCCTCCTCTTTCTTTCTGCCTGCCTCTCTGCCTACTTGTGATCTCTGTCAAATAAATAAATAAAATCTTTAAAAAAAAAAAAAAGAGTAAGCTGGAGAGGAGCACTTTCTCATCTGGGATCTTATCTTTTGTTTGTTTGTTTGTTTGTTTTTTAAGATTTTATTTCTTTATTCGAGAGAGAAAGAGGGGGATAGCACACGCAGGGCGGAGAGGTAGAGGGAAAAGCAGGCTCCCCACTGAGCAGGGAGCCCAACATGGGGCTCCATCCCGAGACCCTGAGATGGTGACCTGAGCCTAAGGCTGACACTTAACCAACTAAGCCACCCCAGGCATCCTGGGATCTCATTTTTAAAAAGAACATCTGGTTTTCTAAATCCAGGGGACTTGATTTTCAAAGTACAAGTAGCCACCAACTCATACGGGTCTGCCTTTTAGTGCGTGGCTCTGAGAAACAGGCTCCGGGGGCCATAAAAGCAATCCTCCTCTTCAATGCTAGTTGTGGGAGCTGCCCCGTCCCCATCTGAGCTCCTCTCTAGGACTTTCTGGCTCTTCCCTTTCCTTCCATTCTTGTTACTTTAGTGCCCCCTTCACTGCTCTACTCCCTGCAGCCCCACTCACCTGGCCCAATGTGGAAATGTCAGGATGGGCAAAATGGAGAGGGATGTCAGGGAAAATGAACAGAAAGCTCATTGCAACTCACTCCTCCCCTCTCTTACCCCCAGTCCATGAGTTTTGACAAACATATATACCCATGTCCAACCAGCACCCAAATCAGGATACAGACTTCCATCACTCCCAGAAATTCCCCAGAAGCTAGAAGTCACAAAACTCATCTTTGCTGATAAAAGTCAGATGAGTGGTTGCTTGGGGTAGAGTAGGGAGAATTAACTGCAGAGGGATACAGAGGAGCTTTTGGGGTGATGGAAATATTCTATATCCTGATCTGAGTGTATATATTTGTCAAAACTGACTTCTATGCAAAATGAGTAGATTTTATTATATGTAATTTACATGTCAATAAAAATGATTGAAAAAAATTCTACTGATACTGGTTTCAAAACCCTGGTTATTCCTCCAAACCGTAGTTATTCATCTTTCTTGAAGACTTTCTGGCTCTTCTGGGCTCACAGTGATCCCTTCCTCTCCTGGCTCAGACCCTTAGAGTCTGTACTGTTCACATGGCAATTCAACCAGTGTTTCTGTATGACTTAATATTACCGCTTTTGATTTTTTTATGAATTCGTGAATTGTCTCCTCACTAAATTAAGAGAGCCTTGGGGCTGGGAAATGGTTTAATTTCTCACTGTTTCCTTGAAAGCATGGGGCTCACAAATGCCAAGCATCTGCAGATTCCAGCTATCCACCTGACTGGTACCAACTGGACACCAACTGGACAGGGAAGACTTGGGTGGCCAGGTTACAGCCACTAGACTGTGCACCCCTATGGAGAGTGATCCTGTGGGAGGCAAGGACACGTTGTGGGTGGCAAACCCCTAGTGGCCAGTGAACGTTAGCCCCATGCCCCATTCTGATTCTCATCTGTCACACTCCTCCTTCCCTGAAAAACTTGGGTGATCTCTAAGCCTGCTTTAAGCTGTCATCTTGGGACCTACTGGCATCATCACCTTGGAAATTCCCTTCATCTCTCTCATGTTGGTCTCCTATTTCCTGGACCCCATGCTTTTTTTTCTTTAGGTAGAGTATATCATTCAGTCAATTGTCCTTGCCAAAAGAATACAAGAATAGATCTGGGTGCGGGGCTCCAAGCAGCACCTAGCAACTTCAGAAACCCCAGATCAGTGCCTCCTCCTCAGAGCTGAGCCTCACACCAGTTTCCAGGGCTTCCAGGATTTGCTGCAAACCGTCTCTGACCTTGGGGCCTAGTTCATGTCCTCATGACCTTTCGATTCAACATTCATTTAGTGACTATTAACTGAGTACCTACTGTGATCCAGGTACCATTCTAGGCATTAGAAACAAAGGGGTGGACAAAATAAACAAGGAAGTCCCTACTCTGACTGAAGATATGATACTGTTGTGGTGGGGGTGTGACCAAAGATAATGAGCAAATGAATAAATAATAAATAGGATGGTGATGAGTAAGATAAAGAAAATCAAAAAGAGTGTGCTGGGACAGAGGTGGTGCTTTCTTGAGGTTGGGGACAAGGAGAGTCTCACTACGGAAGTGACATCTGCAGGATAAGGAGCCACCCATACTGAGATCTGGGGTAAAGGCATTCCGGATAGAGAGAACTGCAGATGCAAAGGGCCTGGGGCAGAATAAGCTTGATGAGTTTTGAAGGGCAGAAAGGAGCTTAGTGGGGTTGGAGCATAGTAAGGGAGTAGAGAACGACAAGTGAGCTCAGGGAAACAGGCAGAGGTCAAATGATGTGAGGCCTCATGTTCCATGAGAGCACTAGGATTTTATTCCAACTGGCACTGAAAGCCTTTGGGTAGTCTTAAGCCTACTCCCCACATCCCTTAAGGACCAAACATTGCCTTCCATATATGTGTTTTTCTTTTTTAGACCTAGCCTCCTGGCCAGGCACTCCATTAGTGTCCCTGGAAAACAGCATCTGCTGACAAGCATCAATGCGGACCTCTGTGCTCCTGGATTCCCACTCCCTTCCTACTGGGGACCCCTTTCATCACTTTGCCTCGGACCTTTCCCCGGAACTTAAACTAACACTTCTGGTTGCCCCATGTTCTCTCTAGCCAGACTAGACCCCTTTTGGCATCTGTACTAGCCTGCCCCATCCTGCCTGCTGGCTCTGCTACTAGGCCTCACTCTACCAAGTGCCCCAGGTCTCAAGCTGCAACAGCTCAAGGGACAACAACAACACAGGCACCCCTCCTCACAGGCCTCCACCACCCAACCAACTCACCTTCACCCAGGGTCTGCTTGAGTAAGTCATGCTTGGCCTGTAGCTTAGTGATGAGGTTACTGCCGTTCACATATTCTTTAAATTTCTGTAAGACACAAGGCATGTGGGCATTACAGACTGCAGGGCCAAGTCACATGGTCTCCACCCCTGGAACCAACCTCTCGGCCGGGGAGGTCGAAAGGAGATGAGGTCACCCTCTAGGACACCAGCATGGGGAAAAGAGGGGCCTCTGACCTGCCCCTCTGCTCTTCTCCATCAGACGCCAGCTCTGTGGAGCACGGCTGTCCAGCCTACGCATTTTAGGCCAGTTTGGGGAACACAAAGAAAGCTCAGGGGCAGGGTGAGCCGTGAAAGGAGCTTTTGTCAGGTGAGGACAGTGGGGGGTCCCTAGCAGACGGCTTCTTTAGTCTTCAGGCTCCGCTGTGCTTCTGGGCCACGAGCAATAAAAATGGGAACCGTGTCTGGGGGCAGGCAGCCGAGGCAAGAGTGCTTCATCAGATCTGTCACAGAGGAGCCTCCTAATGAGCCTTTCTCTCATCTGGCCCCACTCTGAAGGAGGAGGGGCTCAGCAGGCCCCTAAAGACATTCCTGTTAAAATAACCTGGACTGCATTAGGAGACACAATTTTCTTCTTTTTATAGAGGAGACAGGGGAGGCTGGCATAGGGAACTGATCTGCCCAGGGTCCCTGGGACCCCCAGGCCTCTCATTCAGGGGCCTTGTCAAGCACAACATACTTCAGAGCAGAACAGAGGGACAAGAGCCACAGAACAGAAACACATTTGCCTGCACCCTAATGCAGCTGGGCCTCAGCCATCCCTCCCTCTACACAAGTACCGGCTTTCATTGGCCCATCCTGTATCACCCAAACCCAGGCCCGGAGCCCCCTCTGCTGGGGCATGTCTTTGCCAGACTATGAGGTGCTGTCAGTGGGGTCTACACCCAGTTGGTTTTTGGCTCCCAAGTGCCTACCACTGGGCCTGGTATAGAGCCAGTGCTGAGAAACTTCATGGAGGTTGACACAGAAGAGAGGGTAGAGAGGCAATAAGCTAATAAAGAAAGTAAGATACACAATTGGCCTGCTACTGGTGAATGCCGTAGATGAGAAAAAGGCAGGAATGGGGGACTATGAGTTAGGGCAGACCTCATGGCAAAGCTGCCCTATGAACCCAGGCCCGAAGGAGGTGAGGAAGGGGCCGTGTGGGGACACATGTGTACATGGGGGATGGAGCATTCTCAGCAGATGGAACGGCAATTGCAAATGCCTGAAAATGAAGGCACAGGATGGTATGATTGCCCCAGAGCTTCCAGCTAGTTTCTCACAAAGAAATCCACTTTATTGCCCCAGCCAGGATGCTCAGAAAGGGGGTGTAGAGGAGCAAACAAGTGAACTACAGTGGTTTGGGACATTCTAACAGATAAAGGAGCATCTGGAAGATCTGCATCATCTCCCTGAAGACAGGTGCAGGGTAAAAGCCCAAGGTATGGAGGCTGACATGTGCTCAGATAAGACTGGGGTCACCCCAACCTGGCCCCAAGTTGGTAGGTATCTGGAACAGTGGGGCTGGCAGGAGATGGTGGCATCCTCTCTCCTCAGCCAGAGTCCTTCTTGGTTCACAGGACCTTGTCTTCTGGTTATTAAGAACCACTCCCCCTTGAGCACTCAGCAGTTTTCAGGCTTGTACCTTTGTGTACCCCAGGCTCTCTCTGGATGCTTCCAGGACTGACACCCTCTGCTCTTATCCCATGTTTAACAATTTGCCATAAGAAGCAGAGCTGAGTTCTGAGCAGGAGTTTTCTCCATCATGCCCTGCTGCCCCTGGTAGTTGAAGCTGTAATCCCAAACACATAATTCACACCTTGGTGGGTTATTCACTGGTTAGTGGAAATTATACCCCAGGTTTCTGGAGCCTGTGAATTCTGCCGGCTTTTTCCAAGCTTCATCTGGGCTTCATATGTGATCCATGATTGGAAGAATGCCATCAAATTGTACTGATGTTTGCATTAAAAGGAATATTATGTCCTCAAAAATGCCTAAAATAATGTCACAACATCAAGTCATGAAGTGTACTTGCCAGCCCGGTTGATAGATTAAATATTAAAATTAAAATAGAACATCCATGACCCTTAATCATGAACATTGGTGAATTCTGTCTTTTAACTTCAAGCAGGTCAGACCCCCTTTTCTGCTTCTGCCACCCAGATTTCTTTGTTTATGCTGCCAAAGGGAATCAATATTCATACACACCCCTTATTTAATCTTTGTAACCCATAAAATTCTCTTTGTACACACAGTAGGTCCTCAGGGGAAGTGCTGAAGCCCAGAAACCAGCCTGGGCTGACTCACGAAGACCAGTTTCATTTTTCTTCCCAAAAACAACAAAGTCAAGGAGTGAAGCTTGAGCTAATACTATCCGTGTTTTCAATAAGGGATTCGATGAGGCCTAGCACAAGATGGAACTGGGTGTCAGAACAGGGTGGATTTGTGACTAGTTAAATGACCACATCTAAAAGTGCTGATTAGCGGATCAGCATCAGCCGTGGCATGTTTTTTTTTTTTTTAAGATTTTATTTATTTACTTGACAAAGATCACAAGTAGGCAGAGAGGCAGAGAGAGAGAGAGAGAGAGAGAGAGGGAAACAGGCTCGCCGCTGAGCAGAGAGCCCGATGTGGGGCTCAATCCCAGGACCCTGAGATCATGACCCGAGCCTAAGGCAGAGGCTTAACCCATTGAGCTACCCAGGCGCCCCAGCCGTGGCATGTTTTAAACAACTCCATCTTTGGCGTTGGCCCTGGCATACCTACTATTTTTTTTTTTAAGATTTTATTTATTTATTTGACAGATAGAGATCACAAGTAGGCAGAGAGGCAGGCAGAGAGAGAGGAGGAAGCAGGCTCCCTGCTGAGCAGAGAGCCCGATGTGGGGCTCGATCCCAGATCCCTGGGATCATGACCAGAGCAAAGGCAGAGGCTTTAACCCACGGAGCCACCCAGGCACCCCCCTACTAGTTTTTTTTATTTGACAAACTTTAGGGTGCGAAAGCCACACCTATGCACTCTGCAGACAACGTAAGGTCTTAAGACACAGCATATATGTTGAACAACTGGAACAAGATCTTGATAGTCTGGAGCCATGAACTAAATCCATCAGGAGGGTATCTAATTGGTACCAAACAGAAGACCTACCCAAGACAACACCTTTAGGAGGAAGGTAGCCTGGTTTATTGGCGGTATGTAGGGAATAAAGGTTTAACTGATATTTAACTTTAAAAAATATATATTTTAAATACATATATATGTATTTAAAATCATATATATATAATATATATATAATCTTACTTATAAGAGAATATTATGAAAAATTACGTGCCAACAAACTGAACAAGCTAGATGAAATGGATAAATTCCTATAAGTATATAACCTCCCAAAACTGAATCAAAAAGAGAAAATTTGAACAGACTAATCACCAGCAATGAAATTGAATCAATCAAAAAAAACTCCCAACTAACAGAAGTCCAGGAGCAGATGGCTTTACAGGTGAATTCTACTAAATATTTAAAGAAGAGTTAATACCTATTCTTCTAAAACTATCCCAAAAAGTAGAAGAGGAAGGAAAGCTTTCAGATTCATTCTATGAGGCCACCATTACCCTGATACCAAATTCAGATAAAGACACTACAAAAAGGAGAACTACAAGCCAATATAAATGATGAACAGAGATGTGAAATCCAAACATTCATTGAAAAAAATCACTCACCACAATCAAGTAGGATTTATTTCTAAGCTGCAAGGGTGGTTCAATGGTCACAAATCAATCAACATAATACATCACATCAACAGGAGAAAGGATAAAAACATAGATGCAGAAAAAGCAATTGACAAAAGTATAATATCCAATCATGATCAAAACCCACATCAAAGCAGGTTTAAAGGGAATATACCCCAACATACTGAAGGCCATATATGAAAAACACATAGTTAATATTATACTCAACAGTAAAAAACAGCTTTTCCCATAAGATCAGGAATAAGACCAGGATGTCCACTCTCACCACTTTCATTCAACACAGTACTGGAAGTCCTAGCCTCAGCAATTAGATAACAAAAAGAAAGAAAAGGCATCCAACTGGTAAGGAAGAAATAAAAGTTTCACTATCTATAGATGACATAATATTGTATTTAGAAAACCCTAAAGCCTCCACCAAAAAACTACTAGAACTGATAAATGAAATCAGTTAGGTCACAGGATACAAAATCAATATACAGAAATCTGTTGCATTGCTATACACTAATAATGAAGTAGCAGAAAAAAAATTAAGAACACAGTCCCATTTACAATTGCACCAAAAACAAAATACTTAGGAATAAATTTAACCAAGGAAGTGAAAGACCTATGCTCTGAAAACTATAAAACACTGATGAAAGAACTGAAGACAATACAAACAAAGGGAAAGATATTCTATGCTCATAGATTGGAAGAATTAATATTGTTAAAATATCCACACTATTCAAAGCAATCTACAGATTTATCAAAGTACCAGCAATATTTTTCACATGACTAAAACAAATAATCTTAAGATTTGTATGGAACCATGAAAGGCACCAAATAATTTGCCAAAGTAATCTTGAAAAAGAAGAACAAAACTGAAGATATCATAACCCCAGATTTCAAGATATACCACAAAGACATAGTAGTGAAAACTGTATTGTACTGGCACCAAAACAGACATATGGAGGAATGGAACAGAATAGAGAGCCCAGAAATAAACCCACAATATATGGTCAATTAATCTACAATAAAGGAGACAAAATGCAGTGCGAAAAAGACAGTCTCTTCAACAAAATGGTGCTGGGAAAACTGGACAGCCACATGCAAAAGAATGAAACTGGATCACTTTCTCACACCTCGTACAAAAATAAACTCAAAACGGATTAAGGACCTAAATGTAAGACTTGAAACTATAAAGATCCTAGAAGAGAGCACAGGCAGTAATATCTCTAACATCAGCTCTAGCAACATTTTTCTTGGTGTGTCTCCTAAGACAAGGAAAACAAAAGCAACAATAAACTATTGGGACTCCATCAAAATGAAAAGCTTCTGCACAGCAAAGGAAACAATTAACCAAAAGGAAAAGCAATGTAGTGAATGGGAGAGGGTATTTGCAAATGACATATCTGATAAAAGGTCAGTATCCAAAATATATAAAGAGCTACAACTCAACATCAACAAATAGTCCAATTAAAAAATGAACAGAAGATGTGAGCAGACATTTCTCCAAAGAAGGCATCCAGATGGCCGACAGACACATGAAAAGATGCTCAATATCACTCATCTAAAGGGAATTGCAAATCAAAACTACAATGAGGTATCACCTCACACCTGTCAGAATGACTAAAATAAAAAACAAAAGAAACAAGTGTTGGCAAGGATGTAAAAAAAAACAAAACTCTCGTGCATTGATGGTGGGAATGCAAACTGGTGCAGCTATTATGGAATTTTGTGGAGGTTCCTCAAAAAATTAAAACTAGAATAACCATGTGATCCAGTAGTTCCACTACTGAGTATTACATAAAAAATACAAAAACACTAATTTGAAAAGACATATGTGCTCCTATGTTTATTGCAGCATTATTTATAATAGCCAAATTACGGAAGCAGCCCAAGTGTCCATTGATGATGAATGGATAAAGAAGATATGGTATATATACACACATGCACACATAGACATGTGTATGTATATATGTACACACACATGCCCATGTGTGCAACAGAATATTACTCAGCCATAAAAAAAGAATGAAATCTTGCCATTTGCAATAACATGGATGGCTCTAAAGAGCATAATGGTAAGTAAAATAAATCAGCCAGAAAAAGACAAATGCCATGACTATACTCATATGTGGAATTTAAGAAACAAAACAAATGAATAAAGGGCAAAAAAAGAGACAAGCAAAAAACCAGACCCTTAACTACAGAGAACAAACAGATGGTCACTAGAGGGGAGGTGGCAGGAGGTACAGGTGAAACAGATATAGGGGATGAAGAGCACACTTAAACTGATAAGCACTGCGTAATGTATAGAATTGTTCAAGCACTATATTGCACACCTGAAACTAATACAACACTGTATGTTAACTATACTGGAAATAGAAATTTTAAAATAAAAATAAAAAAATAAAAAGAATATGATCTTAGGCCATATGAAAAGAAGGAGGTGGAACTTTAATTCTATTCTGTGCTGGTCAGGTCAGACGACTGCTGACTTTAGAACAGGCATCGACAAAAAGAACGTGTTCAGGAAACAGTCTAGGGCGCTGAGGCCACTCAAAATGAAAGCTAATGAGGCAAGATTTACAAAACCAGGTATGGTTAGCCTGGAGACATGAAAACCCAGCTCCCTACAAGCAAGCCGGAAACTGTCTTATGGAATTAGTCTCTCCAGGTTGCCCCAGAGAACAGGATCAAGATCAATGGCCAGAAATCCTAGTGAAGCAGATTTTTGAAGATAACAGAGATAAGGGAAGACATTATATTATCTACAGCCAGCCATAGGCCAAAACAAAAGGGCTATTTGGGGAAGGAGGGAACTTTTCATCTTGGGGCTATTCAAGCAGAGATGGGATGATTTCTTGGGAGGGGTATGATCGAATGAGATCAAGCATCAGACAGAACATTTCAGGTCCCTTACAATCCCCAAATTCTATGTTCACTAAACACATGTTGAACTAAAGCCCCAATGCCCCTTATCCTTGTTCTTCCTTGTTCCAACCAAATGGCTTAAAAGTGATCTGGGATTTTACACAAAGTGCCTACAATTCACCAGCACAGATCCCCCAGGGCATGGTTTCCAAGGGCCACACCCCAATTTAAGACACCTTAACATGACAACCATACACTAAAGCTTAGGGTTGTTACCTGAGCCTTGCCCCAGGCTCCATCTGCCATTTCCCTCATACCTTACAGAACGCAACTCTCTGGTTTTTTTCGTAGGTTAGTTGCAAAATACATTAATCCAAGATCAATGCTGATGCTCCCCACTGGTAATTCACTTTTTTACCTTTTAAAAAGCCAAGCCAGGCAACTTAATTTGGGAAGCATGTTGGGAAAATTTTAGCTCTGACTCACATGGTGTTGCTGGCTCCCACTAGCTTGGGCTGCTGCCCAAAAGTCACTGCCAACAGGTCAGCAGACAGTGGGCTCTCGGTTCAAGCCGCCACTTACTGTAAAATAAAACATTTCTGTTTCCTGCTGGTTGGCTCTCCTTTTGGCGATGTTGATCTTGCTCATGTAGGTCTCGGAGGCAGCTGACTTCACAGACTCTGTAGATCGACTATGCTGGAAGGCGTCGGAGACATCAAAGTCCTCCACGGTTAGCATGTCCTGTAAGGTCTGCATGGTGGCGTCCAGGGTTTTCCTAACCTGGAGAAATACAGCACGTCAAAAAACCCTTCTACCTCGGAACACCTTTGACACCTCAAAGTCCTTTTCCACACTTTATTTCTTCCATGTAAAGCCTAAAGGAGGTGGGCAGGACAAAGATGATCATTCCTATTATACTGAGGTGGAAAGGGAGGCCAGTGAGCTGGCTGGGGTGACAACCCACATTGCCCGATCTGAAGTCATTTTGTTGATTGCTTCTGCTGAGGAGAACCTTGGAGGATATTGTGACGAACAAGGAACCTAGGTTTCTAAGTATGTTTTTCTTTTCCTGATTATATGGCCCCAAACTAGCTCCTTCTATGGGAGGCAGGTCTGTTGAAGAGGGATAACATTAGAAATACTCTCAGTGCTCATCCAGAGAATAGAGGGGACAAAGTCTAGATAGGGTGAGGGCCATGCTCAGTGGACAGACTCTCTGGCTATCCGCCCCTGACTTACCAAAAGCTTGACTGAGAAAAGAGAACTCGAGGAAGACACATGCTGAGCCAGTCCTGCAGGACTCCAACTTCTCTCCTGGAGCCAAGTGGGACCCATGGAAGGCTACAGGAGCAGAGCACCGGAGCCCTGACCTCGAAACACCACTTCACTGACTTGTGTCCTATACTTTGATGGAGGGTCACTCCGAAAACAGTCACGGGGGAAACTGCATCTACATTCATTAAGTTGTTGTCACCCAAAGTCTTTCTTGTCACACAGATCTCAACTAAATGTCACCTCCTGGTGACATCAGAGCCCCCTGGCTACTATTCCTGATTTAGTGCACATCACTGCTTGATAGTTTGCATACTCATTCATTTGTCGGTTTGCTTTCATGTTTATCTATCTATCTTGAATATAGTCCCCATGAGAGGAGGGACTATGGTGTCTTGTTTCACTCACTTTACTCTGCATTGAGCACAGCGGTTAGAGCATAGTATGTGCTCAATAAATACTTGAGTAAATATTGAATAAATATTCACTCGTTTAAATGAATACTTGTTGAATATATAAATGAACGGATCAGTTCTTTCTAAGATAGTCTAACAGAAGTTCAGGTACAAAATTAAGCATTTCCATAGCTATAAATGGCCCATACCAAGGAATATTTGCTTCATTCTCTCTGGGGCCCTGATTTCCTATTGAAACCCCATTAACACGGCTATGTGTACACTGTTCCATGTAAACAGCTGAAAATGCTTCAGGGGAGGATGTAGAACACAAAGAAAGAAAGAAAACATTTTCTTCATCTCCTTTCTCTCCTCAGGTGTGCAACATAAATATATAATTCGTTTCTGTATAACCTCCCCCCAGGGGCAGCTTTGATTTGTTGTCATCCTGAGTGACAATCTGTCTCGTGTCTGTCCTAGCTCTGTCCTTTGTGGAGACACTGAGCAAACCAGCCCTTTCTGTCCAGGACAGCCCCCTTGAGATGTGAAGACAGGGACCATGACTGCCCATCACCAGCTGTGACTGCTCTCCTCAGTGATAAACGTGCCCAAGATTTTAGGTGACATTCCTCGCATCCTGGTGTCCTTTCTCCAAGGGGTTTCTAGCTGGTTGACATCTTCCCCGCATAGAGGCAACCAGGCTGGAATAGGATGTTGCCCATCTGGCCTCCTCAGTCCACATTGAAATAGGACCACCACAGCTGGTATTTCCATTTGTATGCTCCTGGTGGTGATCCCATGTCACCAGCTCTATGGGAGACGGGCTGGCCACGGTTAAGACAGAAGTTCCTTGGGGCTCAGGGTCTATGACACATTTAGTGTGCCCTGGCTTATTTCATTGGGTTATTTAGAATACCTGTAGCTATCTTTGATGATAAAAATAACACAAACTCAATGCAGATACTAGAGAAAAGCATAAGAAGAAAACAGAAATCACCTGTAATTCTTCTACCCAGATATAACCACAATAAACATTTCAAAATATTTCCTTCAGGGCTTTTTTCTTGTGAATAAACAGACACATGGGTGCTACACTAGTTTACCATCCTTAGGATAATACTGAACACAGAGTTCTACTTCCTGTTTGTTTTTCTTTAACATCTGGTGGGCATCCCCCCATGCCATTAAAGATTCTTGGTATGCCCAGCTATAATGGTCATATAATAATTCATCTTTTTTTTTTTTTTTTTTTTTTTACAATTTGTTTACTTTAGAAAGAGCAGCAGATAGAATGACAGTGGGGAAGGAGCTGAGGGAGAGAGGGGAAAGAATCTTAAGCAAGGTTCATGCCCAGCATGGAGCCCGATGTGGGGCTCCATTTCACAATCCATGAGATCACAACCTGAGCTGTAATCAAGAATCAAATGCTTAACCCACTGAGCCACCCAGGCACCCCCGCCCTGTCATGTAATAAATAATCCATCTTACAGATGAACCCTATTTTCTTGTGGGTTCCATGGCCAGAGTTCCAGCACAAGCTGGGCCTTTGTCAGGAAATCCCTTGCATGTGGAGGGGCCCACTCACCTCCTCATTCTCTATCTTGAGAGTGGCCAGTCTGGACTGCAGCTGGTGGTACCGCATGAGCAATTCCGTCTGGACGGGCTGCTGAGCGCTGACCTGGCACACCTGCGAAAGGACAGCCACCGCTGTCGCCCGGGGCTCTCATCACCTGTGTGGAGCCACGGCCGGGGCTACCCCTGATGTCCCTACCGAAGGCCGAGGAGACAGGCTGGGAAAGGTGAAGTGCAGAGCCCGCCCCTGGCAACACCAGATGGGAAATGGGGCTCCGAAGGCCACCCTTTGGCATTGCAAGCTGTGGCCTCTCGGTCATGGTCTTCTAGATGTGCGTAGCCCTTGAGGGTTTATTAAGAGCTTTCATGTAATCTCATCAAGGAAGACTAGTTCCTTTCAAGGCAAGAATTTGTGGTAAGAAAGCCATGGCCTGACAGACACCAGTGAGAAGAAGCGTGAGAGGAAACAATCAGTGGAGCTGCTCCTCTCGCCCAGCAGGAAGGTGCTTCAATGAGGCAGGAGCACTCTCAGGGGTCGTGGGAGGGGACGGTTGAAGGGAATACTGTTGTCCCCACACCCACTCCCCTCAGGGCTCTGCTACTACCCTGTGGGCTGGGCCACCTGGTGTGACTCAGCTGAGAGCATAAGGGAGAGTAGGGCTCGGTGACTGACTAGTCATTTACCACTAACTAGTCATTTACCACTAATTTAACACCGAGACCAAAATGTTCAGGTCCAGGTGATGAGCCAAAGGGCTGGACACAATGGCTGAGGGATGGGCCAGAGGCTGTGGGGAGACCCCACAGAAGGCCTCTCTTTTGCAAATGAAGAAAGTGGAGAGGGATGAAAAGGAACAGTTCAAGGAGCTTTTTGCATAAGGGACTTTGTACAATTGGAGGAAGCAGCGTGCTGCTCCACTCTGCGGCCAGTAACAGGTGCCTTCCCCAGGAACTTATTTATCTATTCCAGAACCTGGCAAGGAGCTGAGCAGCACAAGCACGGAAGGGAGCGCAGCGGGTGGCCCACCTCCCAGACTGGAGGACAAGCAGCGCCCTGGCAAGCCTGCGGGCCAGAGGGACTGAGGTGAGGCCCAGCCTCCTGTGATCCGAGGTCACCTGAGGGAAGACGGGGAGATGCCTGTGTGGCGATGCAGAACTCCCTTGGGGTCCACACGTAACTGGGAAGGATCTGAGGGGAGAGCAAAGCAATTCTGCAGGCGAGATACTTCAGCCAGCAAAGTTAGGATATTCATGGTAAACGCCTCAGCTGGGCAGCCCCTGGACCAAGAACTTGACCTCAGGCCTCTGAGAGAAATGTCCTGCGTGTGAAGGGGGGCTGGCGTTCCTCTCCCACCAATGTTCTGGGAGCACGTGGAAGAAGAGGCGGAAGCAGCCTCCAGCATGGGTTCCTGCGAGAAACCTACCTCATCCCCCATGTGGGGCTGGAACTCAAACTTGAGTGGGGGACAGAAGACCTGATTGCACATATCCATGACGGTGTGCTTGTCACTTCGGGAATCTAGGTTGTCCACGGCATTCTCAATGACATCCAACCCCTCGTGGCGAGAGGTCTCCAGGTTGTACTCGGCTGAGAGGTAGGTCCGGAAGGTACGGGCCAGGCTGGCATGAAAGCCCAGATCACAGCACTTGGAGAGAGGCACACAGCAGAAGGGTGCAGGTAAGGGCTGTCACACAGAGGTGGGGGCCACCAGCATTCCCTTTCCCATCACAGTGACTTAAGATGACCTCCCATTCCACAGCCAAATCTTTCATCCTGGAGGACCCTGTGCACTCCGGAATCCTACTGCACAAATCACCCCAAAGCCTTCAGAGGGAGCTGGGGATTGTGATTTGGGCAACAGCAGAACTTCTCTCAGCTCCCCCAAATTCATCACATTCTTTCTCTTCTCTAGGCCTTCACACGTGTATTCCCTCTGCCTGGGATAGGGTTTCATTTAGAGGTCACTCCCTCTAGGAAGTCTTCCCTAATGTTCTCCCCACTCAGAGTTTGTCAGGTGTCCCTCCTCTGGGGGTCCACGTCTCCCTCCACCTCCCTTACTGGGACCTGCCACTTGGCTTTGCAGTTGCCTATAAATGTGTCAGGGCTAGGCATGGGATGCTCCATGAGAGCAAACCCACAGGTTCTTGTCCATTGCAGTGGCTCAAGACCTAGGGCTAGTAGGTGCTCAAGAAAAATGTGGTAACTGAAGAAAGGAGAGGACTGGAAAGGGTGAAAAGTTGTGAGAAAGAGGAAGGGTCTGGCCTCAGGCATGGGAAGGCACGGACAGGGCTGACAGCAACCTCTCTTGGGGATGGGGCAATGCGTCCCTTCTGCAGTCATGGAAAATCGGTGGCCCTCTGACTCCCTGACAGGACATGGCAGAGCCAGAGGCAAAGGATCCATCTACCAGTCTGGAACATTTCCTGAGCATCTGCGGGCCAGATCCCTGTCCACATGGGATGGGCAGGCCACAAGAAGAAGTCCCTGCCCCAACACAGATGATGTGGAAGCTCTCCATGATGATGTCACTCATGGTGCTCTTTCTCCAAGCCCAGCGGCCCCCCTCCAGCGTAAGCTATACAGCTGCTACTCAGGGGAGTCAGTGTTCCATTCTCCTTTTGCTAAACCTGCCTGATTTCTCCCACAATAACATCCTCTAAACATATAAACATCTCTATCACCCTGGAAAACCGTCCAGGGCATGAACTGTGTATGATAACCCCTGTATCCCCAAACCCAGCAAAGGGCCTAGTGCAGAGGAGGGTACTTGGAAAGTGCAGGTGGAAGACATGCCTGCCTGACCCAACCACGCAGGGGCTGCCAGAGGCCCACTCCCACCCGCAAGTGTAGAATCCATGAGGTGACACTCATCTCCCAGGCACCAAAGGCCCATTACCCTGCCCCGCCATCAGGGCTCAAGGGACAGGCACATCAGCTTCAGACAAGGGTCAGCCCAGGTGTGGGGCCCTGTTTCATCCCAGACTCCCCAGGTGCTCACGTCGATTAGGTCGGAGACATCGTGGATGTAGTATTTGCTAATGGCTGCATTGGTGGCTGCCAGATTCAGCAAGTAATCATTCCGGGCCTTTGTGCATTTCAGCTTGTTCTCGGAATACTTTGCCTGCCTCTGGAAGAAGAAGAGAGTAGAGGTGAGAGCTGAGGCACTGACCAGGCTGTCATCCCTCTCTCAAACCTCTTCCTTCAGGTTCCACGTTGCCCAGCCTCCTCTGCCCTTCCCTTAAGAGGCCAAGTTCACTTATGCCTCCAGGCCTTCAGACTCATTCCTTCTGCATGGCAAACCATCCTTCCAAGTCCCTATGTGGTCTGCTTCTTCACATCCTTCAGGTCCTTGCCCAAGGTCATGTGGTCAGAGTGGCCTCTTGTCTGGAAGCGAGTCTTCAGCAACCGCAGCACCCCTCCCCTGTGTTCCCTCGCCTTGCTCTATTTTTTTCATTTATTTAGTCTTGTTCAATTTTTAGTGATTATTCTTATTTTACCTTTTTTTAAAAGATTTTATTTATTTATTTGACAGACAGATCACAAGTAGGCAGAGAGGCAGGCAGAGAGAGAGGAGGAAGCAGGCTCCCTGCCGAGCAGAGAGCCCGATGTGGGGCTTGATCCTAGGACTCTGGGATCATGACCTGAGCTGAAGGCAGAGGCTTTAACCCACTGAGCCACCCAGGAGTCCCTTAATTTACTTTTTTAAAGACTAAATTTTTAGAACAGTTTTAGGTTCACAGCAAATTTGAGAGCAAGATACAGAGGTTTCCTATCTATCCACCTCCCCCATCCCCACACATGCATAGCTTCCCCTGTTATCAATATCCCCCACCAGAGGGTACATGTGTTACAACTGATAAACCTACAGTGACACATCATAGTCACGCAGAGTCCATAGTTTACATTAGGGCTCACTCTTGGTGTTTTACATTCTATGGGTTTAGGCAAATGTATAATGATATACTTACTTATCCATCATTATAATATCAAACGGGGTAGTTTCCCCACCCTACAAATATACTCTGTGCTCCATCTCTCCATTCCTCCCTGCCACCTAACCCCTGGCAACCACTGATCTTGTGTCCATAGTTCTGCCTTTTCCAGAAGGTCATCTTGGTTGGAATCATACAGCAAGTGGCCTTTTCAGATTGGCTTCTTTCACTTAGTAATATGCATTTAAGGTTCCTGCATGTCTTCTCAGGGCTTACTCGCTCATTTCTTTCTAGCACTAACATTCCATTGTCTGGATGTACCATGGTTTACTTATCCATTCACCTGCTGAAGGACTTCTTGGTTATTCTGTTTTTCTTTATAAGCATTTTTCATCACCTGAAATTATATTTTTTTATCTCTTTGTTGACTTGCTGGTTTTTGGTGTCCACCACTGGAAAGTAAGTTCTATAAAGTCAGGGACCTGATCTGCCCTATTCATCACTGGGCCTGTAGCACCCAGAACTCTCTGTACAAAGTAGGCATTAAGCACTTTTCTCTGGCTCTCTGGACACGAATGATGGGAGAGGCAGAGTGGGCAGTTAGAGGCGCCAGTCTTAGCCAGGAGCTGGATGGCTTCCCTGGGCAGCTGCTTCTGTCCTGGACCAGACTGGGCAGGTAGAGGTCATGAGAAAGTGGGCTGGAGAGCTGTCTACTTGCCCCTTGCAGGTGATGAGTCCCATTCTGGGTAGAAAAACAGCTCTCCTTAAAGAAACAGGATTTTCCCTCTTCACATAGGCACTCTTAAACCTTCCTTATTCCAAGCAAAACTATGGAAATGGCCCAAGTGTCCACTGATGGATGAATGGACAAAGAAGATATAACACACACACACACACACACACACCCCATACACATGCACACACATACACACACCCACACACACAACAGAGTATTATTCAGCTATTAAAAAAATGAAATCATACCACTTGCAACAACATGAATGGATCTAGAGGGTATAATAAGTGAAAAAGTCAGGGAAGACAAATACCATATGATCAGTCATATATGGAATTTAAGAAATAAAACAAACAAAAAGAGACAAAAAAATGACAACTTTATAGCAAACAAACGTCATTACCAGAAGGGAGGTGGGTTGGCGATGGGTGACATAGGTGACAGGGATTAAGAGTACACGAATCATGATGAGCACTGAGTAATGTACAGAATTATTGATTCATTATATTGCACAACTGATACTAATATACCAAATATTAACTATACTGGAACTAAAATTTTTAAAAATTTAAAATTTAAAAAAAAAACACCTTTTTAAATTCCAGATCTAGTTCTAGCTATTCAATAGAGATGTTTCTATGTCAACCTTTGAATTCTCTTCAGAGATCTCCTCTGACCTTTCCCTACGGTCCACCTATTCTGGGAAACAGACTTCTTCAGGTAGTTACCAATCCTATACCAGCCATGCACCCACCCCCTCACAGAGAGTTTTGATATTCCTCACCCATTCCCAGGGGGCTATAATGGCCCCCAAACCACTTCCAGCCCTTCATCAATTCATAAAATTTTATACCTAAAACAAACTGAGGGTTCTGGAGGGGAGGGGTGGGGAGTTAGATGAGCCTGGTGGTGGGTATTAAGGAGGGCACATATTGCATGGAGCACTGGGTGTGGTGCATAAACAATGAATCCTGGAACACTGAAAAAATAAAATAAAATTTTAAAAATAGGATATTAAAAGTATCTCAGTTTAATTCACCCATTTCACAGATGAGAAAATGAAAACCAAAAAGAAGTAGCTGAGGGGCACCTGGCTTGCTTAGTTAGTAGATTGTATGACTCTTAATGTCAGGGTCATAAGTTTGAGCCCCATGTTGGTTGTGGAGACTTCTTTAAAAAAAGGGGCTTGTCCAAAAACTAAATGGCTCATTAGCAATAACTCTGAACTAAACTTAAGTCTCCAGACCTCCCAGTCAATGGTCTCTCTACTCCTCTATTTATCTCCAATGTTGTAGTTCTGTAATTCCCTGCCTGCCTATCTTATTTTTATTTATTTATTTATTTATTTATTTATTTATTTATTTATCTGTTTATCGTATATCCACAGATTTGTATAACAATCACCACTATCTAAATTTAGAATACTTTCATCAGCTCAAAAAGAAACCTTCTACCCATTAGCAGTCACTCTTCATTCTCCTCTGCCCCAGCTCCTGGCAACAAATAATCTACTTTCTGTCTCTATGTATTTGTCTATTCTGGACATTTCATATAAAGAGACTCATACAATATTATGACTGGTTTCTTTCACTTAGCATATTGTTTTCAAGGTACATTGTGTTGTAGTCTGCATTAGCACTTCACTCCTCTTCCTGGCTAAATAATATTCCACAGTATGGCTAAATCACATTGCACTCATCCAGATGAACATCTGGATTGTTTCTCCCTTTTGGCTATTATGAATAATGCTACTAGGAACATTCCTGTGCAGGCTTCTGTGTGGAAGTATGTTTTCATTTCTCTGGGTGGATACCTATGAGAATTGTTGAGTCATAGAATAACTTCATGTTTAACATTTTGAAGAACTGACAAATTGTTTTCCAAAGTGGCTGAACCATTTTATGTTCCCTCCAGCAATGTATAAGGGTGCCAATTCCTCAACCACCTCACTAACACTTGTGACTGTCACCTGTTTTTATTTTAGCCAGCCTAGTGGGTATGAAATAGTATGTCACTGGGGTTTAGATTTGTATTTCCTTAATGACTAATAATGCTGAGCATCTTTTCATGTGCTCCTTGGCCGCTCATGCAAGCTCTTCAGAGAAAGGTCTATTCAAATCCTTTACCTATTGTTTTAAAAGATTTTATTTATTTATTTGACAGAGGGAGAGAGATAGCAAGAGAGGGAACACAAGCAGGAGGAATGGGAGAGGGAGAAGCAGGCTTCACGCTGAGTGAGGAGCCTGATGCAGGACTCGATCCCAGGATCCTGGGATCACAACCCGAGCCGAAGGCAGACACCCAAGGGCTGAGCCACCCTTTACACATTTTTTAATTGGGTCTCTGTCTAATTATTGGGGAACCTACTTTTCTTTGCCTTTGGAAATTACCCTGGAACCTTGGTTTATTTGCTTATGGTTACTTTTCCAGCTCACCTAGGCCCCGGTGAATTTCTTTTCCACTCAATCTATCATTTTTAAGAGCTGCAGGGCCATGTAATCATAGAATGAGATGCAGAAAAGCCCAAATAAATATCTGGTGCAATGTCTGGCACCTAGAAAGAGCTCAAAAAATGTGTACTGATCGCATGGAATGAATAAATGCAGAGAACTCAACAAGAAAATCATGGCTTTTACACAGAAAGAAACTTTAGAAGTAACCTAGTCTAGGATAACAAAAGCATGTTAAATTCCCCTCTAAATTCCCTGGCCATTGCAGACATCGTTAACTGATCACAGCACTGTTTTTAACTAATGCCTGGAGGGGGCTTCACAGTCTTCAACACAGAGCTCTGGGCGGCTACTACCCGTCGATCAGAGTTGACCTGAGAGAGAAGAGTCATTTGCCAACACCGTCAGATTTTAAAACCGAGGTTCAGAGAAGTACTGTAAATGTGGCACTTTTAAAACTCCGACTGCGTGATTCCAAAATGAGCACTCATTTCACTGTGCCCTACTAAAGCACGTGTCCAGCACCAAGACACAGTGATTCTAAATCTCCCACCTTGGGCTTGCCAGTGGCATTTTGGATGGGTTCTTCCTCGGGCTTCCAGGTGCTGGTTGGTAGCCCAGTGCTGTTTTCCTCCTATTGGGACCTGCCCTGCCCCAACTAGCTCTCCAGCCACCAAAATGGCCTCCTGAGCAAGGTCCCGCCCCTCCAAATGCCTGGTGATTCCTGCCCATCCGAGAACGTGCTTGCTGGGCGTGAGTCTTGTCACAGTTCAGCTCTCTTGTCAGCTGAGCGCTTTCTCTGCCTGCTGATCCTGGCACAAGGTCAGGCCTAACAAGTGCTAGTGAGGCCTGGCCAGCCCTGCCTCCTCCATGACACTGACCTCCAAGAGCACACATGCTGGCACCCTGCTTCTATCCCACACCCCTCAGGTTGTAGAGGGGGAAAGCCAAGGCTGTCAGCAGGGAGTACGCGCCTGCTTCCTGCCCTGCCCTCAATTTCTCTGAGGCCCTCACTTACCTTTTCCTTCATCTTCTCGATCTTCTTCACAGAGCTGCGGCGCTGGGGCCGGTCCTCGTGACGGAGCAGGTTCATGCTGAGGTCTCCAGACTTGTTGAACTGCTTCTCCTCCTGCTTCTCAGCCTCTTTCAGCTTGCTTTCTGCACTGATGCTCTCCGCATGGTACATGTGGTAGGTTTTCATGACCTGGGGACACACACAGGCAGGAAATCAGCAGCCTGCACGGCCCAGCATGTGGCCCCAGTGCTCCCAGCCCCCTTCAGGCTCTGTATCCTGCCCTCTTCCCACCACATAGTCTGAGCTCCCCACTGTGCTTTACTTGCACACAAGCTCTGCGGACTGGAAATGATGATGACCACCAGTAGCAGCCTCCCTGCCATTATCATCTTCAGCAACAGCATGAAGTCCTCACTGAATGCCAGGATGAGTAAATTTAAAAGCTTCCATGCATTTGGGAGTCTCAGAGGTGATAGGACATACTTGGCCCTCCCTCAGCCGTCCTCTTTGGCCAGCCATGACTCTTGTCCCTCTCCTCCTCCCCCCAGGGTCACTGGGAAGCCCCCTCCTCCAATACTCATGGAACTTCCATGGGAACATGCAAATTGTTTTCTCAGCTGTTTCTTTATTGGCCTGCAAATGGCTCTGTCCCCGAAAGGAGTATTACTGGAAATACTAATTGCTATTCTATGCTTTCTGAAATAAACTCATCCTTGGCTATACAGTGAATTCCCACAAAACAGACCACACTTTGCTCTTCTACTCCCATAGTAAAAGTCGGATATTGTTATAACAAGGGAGTTTTTGAGACAGAAGAAATTCTAAACGTTATCTAATCCAACCACCAAATTTTACAAATAGGGAAACTGAGGCCTAGAAGGGCTAAGTGGTTTATCCACGATTGGACAATATCATCAGTGTAATCTCCAAACTTTGCCTCAGCGGGGGCAATACCACAATCAAGCTGCAGAACACTTTAACTACACCACAAAGATCCCTATCCCTTCCCCCAGCCCAGACAATCACTGATTTGCTTTCTGTCGCCGCAGTTGAGTTTTATGTGTTCTAAAACTTCATATACATGGAACCAAAGCATACAATTTCTGTGGGGTCTGTCCTCTTTCATTCAGCATAATTCTTCTCCCATGTCATATCAGTTTTTTATTACTGAATAGTATTTCTATATCATATAGCATATAGTGATAGATATATATCACTATTTGTGTATTTATTCATATATTAATAGTTACTTGGGTTGTTCACAGTTTTGGTCTATCATGAATAAAGCTGCTAAAAATGTCCATGTATAATTCTTTGTGTGGATGTATGTTTTCATTTCTCTCAGGTAAATACTTAGGAGTGGAATGGAGGGTCCATTAGGAAAAGTACATTTAACCAAATAAAAAATCTGGTCTCTGAGTTTTAATCCACCACTCTTTCTACCATATCATACAGTTTCCATAATTCAATACCATTTTCTCAGCAGGTATGAACAGTTTGGGCAGCCTTAGAGCAAGGCAGGCAGTCCTATAATAATAGGACTCTATCGCCCCGTCCCCAAACTTTTCTATGCAATATCAAGTTTATGAGCATCCTTCTGTACTAAGAAACACATGAAATTTCTGGATTCCACGGCTTTTGAAACTTGTTTGTTCTCTTCTGTTGTTTGGATAATTACAGCAGCGAAAAGAGCAGAGGCTCCCACGTGGGGCTGGGATACACTCCTGTCTAATGGGGCCCTTTAAGTCGGGGAACTTGGAATGAATTCCTGGCCAGCATTATAACCTTACTGATTCTCATATGAACTGTGAAGTCAGTTTATTACAGTGAAGAATTATTCTGTAACTCTTACCATGAAATCACAGCCTTGATCTGTTGCATAGAAAATAGGCCCAGAGTTAATAGGGGAGCATCTGTTGTAGAACGTGATAGGTGTTGTAGAGTATGAACTCTGGTACAAACATCTGGGCTGAATCCTGATGGTGCCACTTACCAGTTGTGTGACTTTCGGCAAGTCACAGAACCTCTCTGACCTCTGCTTCCTCATCTGTAAAACGGGGATAACCAAGGCAACTACCTCATAGATTTGTTATGAAGACTAAATGAGTTCACTTAGGTAAAGTGCTAAGAATAATACCCACCACATAGTAGGAAACATGTAGACATCAGCTGCTACCACCACCACCACCATCAGCACCCCTGATTTGGGCTGAGGGTTTGAGAACCTTGAATTCACTCACTTGATTTCAGGAAAATGCTTAAGAACGCTAAAGAACATTAGCTAATATGCAAAATGTTACTCTATACCATGTTTCTCCCTTCCTCTTTCATCTTGAAAACCTTCCCAAATTTCAAAACAATAAATGAATAAAAAATGCAATCAACTTTTCTTCATTGGTCCTGGTGGAAGACCTCTTCTCTGCATTCCCCTCATGGCTGATTTTCTGAGTTGCCATAAAGCCTCTAGAGATGCCATTCTCCGTGATTTCATCCACTCCTTAGGCCAGTTCCACTAAGTTTATTTCCAAACTTAGTGAACCAGAGTGTGCCAGATAGATGTATTCTCGACATCTAGTGGCCAAAAGGAATGACTGCAGGCTTACAGGGAACCAAAGCAATTGCCAGTTTTCCACCATCTTTATACCAGCGTTCCTGCAATGTCACGCGGGTAAGACTTGGGAATACCTGCTGAAGTCTCTCAGGCCTCTGCCTTCCCGTTCTCACGCTTTTCTCCTTTCCTCCACGTTCACAGGCACTACTGGTTTCTTTGCTTCTCTACCATGCTGCTGGTAGTGTCCATTTCTGGACTCACCCCTTTCTGGGTTCAATGATTCCTGCTAAAGCCACTTTTTCTGTTTCAGCTGCTGAAGTCTGCTTATCTCACCATTAATCTATCATCTTTGTTGAACAGATCAGAGGAAGAGAGAGCATTTCTATTTGCAATTAGATCTTCCTGTCCAATCATCCATGCATCCATCCATTTATTCACTCAAGGTCAGCATCCCAGCTGGGTGTTCTCAGCCTCCAACATTTCCCTTTGCCTAGTTTTCCACTCGAAGCACAGAGTACTTTTCCTGCTCTTCAACAAACCAAGCTTCATAGTACATTTCTCTGAACTGAGGTGCAAAAGTCCCATAGCCAGAGGACCCCGGGGCTAAACTCCCAGTGATCCAACTGGTAATTCCTGATCCTAAAAATAACAGTGAACTTGATTGCTCAGGGTGATTTATATCTGACAGCTGCCACAAGAGTTTACCTGGGGACCTCTCAGAAACGAGTTTAACTATATCCAGAATCCTCTAGATGTTTCCTTTATTTAATTACCTGAAACACAGGCTTTAGCATGAAAGATCCTTAGCTCAATAGTTTAGAAGAGTCTTCTCAATATTACCAGCCCAGGATGTGTTAAATAATACTTAAACTTATCAATTACTTCAGAGTTTGCAAACCTCTTTTATTATCCCCAAGGAGCATTTCAATTAACCTTTACTCCAACCCTGGGAGGCAGTATGGTACCAATAATGGTGAGAACAGCCAACACTTACTGAGCACTTACTACATGCCCAGCCTTGTTCTAAACACTACACATATATTAACTTTTTCATTTCTTACAAAAACCCTAGGAGGTAGACACTACATGACCCAGCTTTACAGATGCAGAAATCACAAAATAGGAATAAAGGGATTCTCTACCCCACAGGGACTGAAGACTTGGTTTTGAGACTCAGCCTTCCCCTAAGACTTGCTGGGTGACTGTGGCAGCAGCTTATCCTCTCTGTGCTGCCTGGTGGAGACCAGAATGGGGGTGGATAGGAAGGTGCTCCATAAGTTGTAACTATAAAGTGACTGGCTGACAGCAGTGTCGGGACTGGGAAGGGAGCAGAGGTGGATGCAAGAGTTCAGCTGAGGCCAAGGCACTGAGACCCAGCCTTCAACTTGGCACCTCTGAAGAACCCCTCAGAGACACCCACCTGGCTTAATGCCTGGCTTAATGGGCTGCATTCCAATCCTCCAGAACCTATGAGGGAGACCCCCTGGAACAAGACTAGCACAGGGTGAGAAGGACCCTGTAAGGACATATAAATTGAAACCGCTGTTCTTGGACACAGATCAGTTTCATACATTCTCAAAAGGCTCTCCAGACATCTTGGTGTATTAGCACATCACTGAAAGAAACTGGGGCTCGGAAATGGCAAGTGAATTGCACAAAGTCACACAGCAAGCCAGATAGCGAGGACTTCTGAGCTGTGGACACTTGCTGTTTGTAGTAATCACGCTGCCTTTTGCTGCATACACTTTGCTTTCTGCATCTTCCCAAATCCTCAGATCACGAAATCAAGTATTATACGTATAGTCCTTCAGACCCTCATTTAAATGCAAAAGAAACCAAAGGAAATATGGAAGTTGAGAGCATCAAAAAAAGGGGACATGCTGGGGCAAGATAAGAATCCCTTGTTTGACAATAGGTCCTCAACAAATAAGTTCAAGCGCACTTCCTCTACCCCACAGACAGGGCTATCTCTGAGTCATCCAAGAGCTGTGTATGGGGGAAATTCCGGGCCAGTGCATGCCAAAGACACCCTGGAAGGAAAAGCGAGTTCCCAAATTTCAGTATGACCACCCATACTCTTTGTGGCCTACGTTCTCTCTGGAACTTATAATTGCTATCTTCTTTACTCTTTTTGTATGTCCACACACTGTTTCACTGCAACTTGAGTGCAAAGTCCAGAGGGCCAGGACCCAGTTCATGAACATATTCCCTGTACTAAAGCAGAGAGTGGTACCCATCAAGTATCAGATATATTTGCACGCATGAATGAATGACAGCTGGCTGGGTGTGTAGGTGGAAAGACTGATCGATGGAAGGATGGACAGAGAGGGAGATGGTTGAATGGACAGATGGGTGAGTGGGTAAACAGATGGGTGGATGGATGGATGGATGGATGCAAATAACAGAGCAAAGAGAAGAGGGAGAACAAGTGGGACAGATACAGTTCTACTGCCTTTGACTCTGGTGAATACATTTGGAAGTAGGGAGACAGCTACATCTTTGATCAATATTTATTTGTTAAGTATTTGTTCAAATACTTGTTCAAACATTATTCAAATATTTTTTCAAATATTATTCAAATATTTGTTCAATATTTACTGAATAGCTCATTATGCGCCAGGTACTATACTAGGAAATA